TATTATTGTATCTTTATTTTGACCTACATACCTGACCTACACCCACTCTCATGTTGAGTTCTTATCTGTGGTGTTCTGCCCACTCATCCAGACTTGTGAGGGCATCTTACTTTCTCTAACTTGGTTCGGCATTTCCTTACTTTGGCAGTAAATTCACCTCAAGGCATCTCTCTTAACAAGCCTTGGGTTAAAGTACTGTCAGGGCTTCTCAAAGTCTAAGGAAGTTACCTCTGTTGCCTCCTGTGGTCTGTTCCTTACTGGCCTCCTCAGAGTGGCGTGCAGAGCCAACCCCTCTGGATCCTTTTCGTAAATGGGAGCAACCCCAGCCGTCTCTTTCAGATTTTGAGCTTAGTGACCTTTTATAATGACAGGCTCTCCCCCCCCCACCCCAAAGAAACCAAATTACTTGTTAATTTGTTGTAAACTTCTGAAGAAAATTATTCAATGTTATTTTTTCATTTTTTATTCATTATAACGTTGAAGCTTTATTCTGCATTAGAACTTTGACCTCTCTGTGCCTCACTTTTGTAAGCCGTAGAATGGGGATAGTTAATGGGGCTGTGGTGGGCACGTGACCAGGGGGACACAGTCCCGTCTGCAGGGGACGGAAGGTAAGTACACAGGGGCTCCAAGGTAAGACATGAGAAGGGCAGGCATCCCAGCCCAGGGTTCTTGGTGGGCTCCTCAGAGGTGTGAGGGGATAGACCTGATGTCCAGAGCAGCTTGACAAGCAGGAGAGGGGGAGCTGCGTCTTAGAACGATGGGAGGGTTTTGTGGGGAGACGAGGCAGGTTGAGAAATGTTGCAGACAGTGGAGACCCTGGAAGCGGCCTGGCAGAGGTCCAGGCTGGGTGTCGGTATGTGGGAGGACCTCCCTTGCCAGGCTGCACATGTGCATGGAGTTTGTGTTGGAGTTGGGGGCCAGTGGGGGTGCATGAGCGGGGGGACAGAAGTCAGAGGGTCTAGGGAAGTGCCTGCTGCCTGAGATCATACTTAACCCGTCAGGGCCAAGTTGCCCAACCTGTGAAGCAGGATGGCACACGATCTCCTGAAAGCGGACGCTTGGCAGCCGAGGCCGCGCCCTCCCCCGGCCTCTGCCTGGGACCCTGCCTGTGATTGGGGGTCGTCAGTGGGCCTCGGGCCTGGGGCCGAGTGTCCTCTCGGTGTGGGGGTTGGGCCTGTGTGTGCTGCGTGTTTCCTTAGAGAAATTTTACCAAGGAAAGCTCAATGTCACAATCCAGTATTTCCGTGATTTTTTTTGCTAATGAAGTAATTTAATCAATTTGGTTTTCGTTTACACAGAGCTGTGGAGCATTTTCAAGGCTGCTTTGTGAGATTGAGCTTGATGTGCCTGGGCCTCCTGTCCCAGGTGGCACCGGCCTGGGTCCCCACCCAGGCATCCCTCTCTCTGCAGCCACGTGCCTGTGTCAGGGCCAGATAGCTGCATCGCCTGCTTTTTAAAAACCTTCCTACGTAGATTGAGACTCTTGGGGAAATTATAGTTAAGTAGCAGTTGTTTTGCTGATGTTAAGATGTTAGAATTAAAGAAGTTGTAGTAGGACTGTTGTATGTAGAAAACATCTTCTTCGTTTAGTTGACCTAGATTTTCTTCCGGTTTTATGTTACTTCTTTGTTCTTGGATTACCCAGATTCTATCCATTGAAATATTATACACTCTTCTCTTATTTTCTGAGCTCTAAGAGTATAAGTATTATTGTCCTTTTAGAAATAAGATTTGCATTAGTGGCAAAATTGTTCCTACTATTAAAAATTTTTTTTTCTGATTCTGCAGTTAACAGTATTCCTTACAGAAAATACAGAAAAGAGTAAAGAAGGAAATAAATATTGCCTGTAACCTGATTAATTTTTATATCTTTCTTGATAGGCAGTCCAGGTTTTGAGTTTTGTTTACAGTTCTGTGACCAACTGTATAAGTTTCCTATTGCGGTGGGCATTCCAAATGCCCACAACCTTAGTGGCTTAGAACAGTGCAAATTTATTGTTTTATAGTTGTTTAGAAGTCTCACTGGGCTAAAATCAAATAAGAGGACTTGTCAGCACCATTTGTCACACTTAGTTCGTGCTAACTACCTGGTAACTGGAGTGATGGACTGTGTTAGCTGATTGGCTTCATCCTCCCACCTTTATGACAGGAGGTGGTTTTGCAACTTGGAGTCTGAAGCCCATGGAAGTTAGGCTCCTGTCCTCCCCAGAGATGGGGAGATGGGTACTGTCTCCCTCGATGTGTACATTCCAAAGAGATGGCTCCCCAGGTCCTCGAGAAAGACATTCCTAAGTCATAAAGCTCGCAAAGTGCCAATCTAGTCTTCAAAAGAATTTATGCACCGTTCCAAGAAATGAGGAAATCCTTCCTTTGGCAAGTTTTCTAGTGTGAGTTCTCAAAGAAAGAGAAGGAGAGGGACAGCTCTTCCCTTACTTTCAACCGGGAGAATTAACGCCTCTTACATGACCTCATCTCTGGTCCTCACCCGGGTTGTCTTTCCCCCTCTGGAACGAGGGCAGGGCCTGGTCCGAGGTTCACGGGCGGCACCTCCCGCAAGTAGTGCCCAGTGAACAGTGAGTGAATGAGTTATAGGCGTCCTGCTTCCATCGACCCTCATAGGAGCCATTTGAAGGCCGTTACTGTTGCACAGTGGTGTGAACTATGCCTACCACTTGCCGTGGAGCGAGTCCTGAGCCCAGGTGAGGGCTCTGCCTCCGTACCTGGCCCCACGGGGACGCTGTATAGACGGGAAGCTGAGGCTCGACGTGTCGCCTGGTGACTCTGGGTCTAACTCCAAAGTCCAAATGTATTTCACTTCCACAGAAAAATACAGCATGATCCTTACCCTGCCTCCCCAAAAGCCTCCAGGGACAGAGGACAGGACTGAGAGCACGAGCATATAAAATCTTAGGCTTGTCTGTGTTGACATGTGGGACTGTTGAAGGGTCATCTTTTCTGTACAGTTACAGCTTTTCCATATTTAGTAATGAGGTTGGGCCAGTCCTGTCACGTTTCTGAGTCTCACTTTGTCCTCCAGCCTTGGGGTCCTCTCCCCAGGTCTGTGTTGCCCGGGGTGGGGCCTGTGGGAGGGCTTCCACAGGCCTCGGGTCAGTGGCGGCTCAAGGGTCAGCTCTGGATCTCAATGGCTCCTTCTCATATAATCCACCTTGTGGTGGATTTCTTATTTGCAGGCGTGTTTCTTTAGAGAGTTGACTGTCTGTTATGTGAGTGTGAGTCTCTGCAACGATCGCTTTACCGCGCTTGGTCTGCAGCTCCTTCGTGTTTTATTTCCCCTGATCATGAAGCATGTTCTCCCAGTGACGAGGGGGAAGTTCGACTTCCATTCCTCGCTTGCCCGTTGCTGTGTGCTCTTTTGCCTAAGCATTTAATCACACAAGCATGGATTCCCCCTCATGTGTATATATTTTTATTTTAACCTACTGGATGTTTTTTCTGATTACACAAGAAATATTTTCCTTTAGAACATATTTTGGCAAATATAAAAAAGCATGAAGAAGAAATGTCTCACCTCTGGTCATCCTATCTGTCAAAACTATTAACACTTTGAATATATATATGTATATATACACACACACACATATATATACACACACATATATATACACACATATATATATACACACACACATATATACACGTATACTAATATGTATATCTTGGGCCACGCTTCATGGCTTGCGGGATCTTAGTTCCCCGACCAGGGATTGAACCCGGGCCACGACAGTGAAAGTGCTGAGTCCTAACCACTGGACCGCCAGGGAACTCCCTGATGTATTTTCTTCCAGCATTTTTTCTGTATGTAATTCAGATCATTCCTTTTGTGAGCTTATAGAACATTTAGAACATTGTTCTGTGTCACTGCTTAGTCATAGAAAAATGCCATTTTTAACGTCTAACATTAGGTTAAACTTTACAAAAGCATTGTTTTTGTAGGTCAAAAATGGTTGAATATCAGCAGTTAGGGTTTAACCTAATATTTGATCAAGTGGTTCATCATGATTATTTTCCTAATGTTAAATATTTAGATTGTTTCAGAGTTTCAATTAGTATACACAACACTGGGGTGAAAGTATTTTACATAATATTTGCCAGTTTCAGTTTCTCCTCTTGTATTTGCCCTTTTAAAATCTGAAGGGAACAACAGCAAATTACTTTCTATAAAAAATTACAGTGGTAATTGCCTGATGCATTTTCAGGGCAAATGGCAATCACTGGCTTCCATTTCCTTTGCTGTTAGAACATCCCACCAGACCACGTGAATGTCAGTGAGAGACTTCTCATTGGGTCCATGGGACAGCAAGTTTAGGGCCTCCTGGTGTATCTTAAAGCTCTGTTCAGAGCTTGCTCTGGCAGAGATTTTCAAGATTGGCATCACCTGATTTCCTTTTCATAATAAATCCTGATTTTTAGTTCTTTTATGACAGACACTTACTGTTGGTTTGTTCTGACGATAATCCTAGTGTTTCTATTTATTCAGGAAATTGCTGACTGCCTGCCTGCTGCCCTCTGCCTGCCACCATGCCATGTCCAGTAACAATATATATTGTTTATTGAGCACGTACTGTGTGCCCCGCACAGTTCTGAGTGCTTTACACACATTTAATGTTTAAAGAGCCCTAAGGGGAGGCCTTGTGACTATAGGTAGCTTACCTGTATGTTTTCATAACCTGCTCACGGGCACCACTGGGAGGTGGGGACCCTGGACTGCCCTGACACCGAAGGGCAGACGTTAGCCATGGTGCTTTACCACCTCCGTGGACACAGCCTTTCAGCTCTTGATCCAGGTTCCTTGGAGGGGTGTGTATACCATCATTTCAGAGGCTGGAGGTGTCCTTTTTAATGACCTTTTGATTGGAAAAAAATGACTTATTTGTTGTATATATTCACTGGGCTTTTTGGTACTGGTTTATCTGAGTGTGGGTTTATATATTTTTAAGCTATGGGCTTTTTTTTGTTTGTTTGGTCTCATTTTCTAGGTCCAGAAGCTGCTATGTATGTGCCCAGTCGATTTCCATGGCATCTTCCAGTTGGATGAAAGGCGGAGAGACGCAGTGATTGCATTGGGCATTTTTCTCATTGAATCTGATCTACAGGTAGGACTTGGCTAAATTAAAAGTGTTTCTGCATGCAAAAGAGGGTGCAGTTAGGGTTTAAGTTTGTGCCTACTTTATACTCCTGAATCAGGCCGAGAGGAGCGCTCACGAACCTACCTGGTGTAAGTGGTCAGCTGAGGGCGAGTGATGGGGAGGGAGCAGAACTGGTGGGAATGAGACCTCTATGGACACGTCCTCAGGAAGGTGCGGTTTTTGTTTTCGACAGAATGTTAGAGTGCTTTGTGAAGTAATCATGTACCCTCCAGAGTAGACTTGATTTTAAACCTCAGGCAAAACGCTCGGGAGCTAGACTCAGAGTAACCACTTCTTTTCCTTCCAGAAAGACAGTGTTCTTTGAGATAATTGTGACATAACAGTCTTTTTCAAAACTATGGTAGATATAAATTGTTTTAGAGTACATGTTAATGTGCCTTTTAAAGGTGATTTACAAACCATTGTTGTCACTACAACAGAAAGTGGCCATTTTTTAGTATTTACCAAGGCTAATTGAAGCAAATGCTCAGTCACTGGATACAGAATCTTTTATCTGTTTATTTTTATCATTGCCAAAAATCATTTTTTAAAATTCCAAGTTTAATCATCCTATGTTAAAAATATAAAGATGTCAGCTATTTGAATTTTTATTCATCTAAAAAAGTTAGCTTGCATGTCCTGGAAATTTTACTTCAATAAGAATTAATATTTTTGACAGAGTATTTATACATTTGAAAAAAAATAAGCATTTTAATTTTAGAGAAGTATTTCAAAAATTAAATAGGTTACCTGATCAAGGCCACACGAAAAACCAAGATTAGATGCATAAGCTGCATTTTAATTCTTCTTCTTCCTATTTATTTACAAATGTGAAAATAAATACAATCATTTTCTATTTGCCAGGTCCTATTTAAATTTAAATATAAAAATAAAGGGAGGAAAATAAATTTTCAAAAAAAGAAACCTGTATAAGAAACTACTGCTATTTGAATGAGTATTACTTGAAACTATCTTTGGCAAACACATCACTTGCTGGATTTACCTGTGAGCCCCTAATACCTGTATTGGGTTTTTTCAGATGGCAGGGAAGAGACGAGTACAAGTTACTTTTGGTGTGGTTTGGGTTCCAGGTCAGTGGTTGGCAGGGGTGGCAGCAGCTGTCCCATGGGGCTCACAGTTGGCCTGAGCTTCCCAGGAAGCTGGAGGCCTCACGAACACCAAGAGAGGAGCCCGGTGTCTGCTGGCCCCTGCGCCTAGGGACCAGCTTTCTCGTGATCCACCTGGAGTTTGTGTTCCTTTCCTCCATCCCTGGTGGGCGCTGGCACTGGCCTCCTTTGTGCCCAGTTAGTGGGCTGCCCTGGCGGCAGCCGTGGCCAGAGTAGCAGTGGTGGTGACACCACTGCAGGGTGTGTGGGGAAGAGCCCGGGCCGCTTCCTCTCTGCAGGGCCTTGGTGTGCGGCCCCTTTGGGGTCTTGTGTGTGTTAGTACACCAGTTCCCTGGGCAATTGTTGTACAGGAAAAATGGTTTTGTTTTCACTAAAGAAAGTTCTCTATTTATTTTGGTTACCTGCTGTGGCATAAAAATTACCCTAAAGTTGGTGGCTTAATTACCCCAAAGTTAGTTGGTTTTGTTTGGCAGAGGTTTTTGCTCATGAATCTGCAATTTAGCCAGTGCTCAGAAGAGCCCAGTCTCTGCTCCATTTGGTGTCATCTGGGGTGGCTCAAAGGCTGGCCCTGGAGTCACCTGAAGGCCCCTTCCCCACATGTGTGGGGTTGATCCTGGCCGCTGGCTGGACCTTCTCTGGGGCTCTTGGCCAGGGCCCCTCCATGTGCATGGCCTCCCTGTGTGGCCTGGGCTGTGTCACTTTGTCACAGCATAGTGTCTGGGTTGCAAGAGTGCATGTCCTGAGAAAGAGCCGGGGGAAGTGGCTCTGCCATCTCTGAGCGAGCCTGGGAAGTCAGGCTTGTTCATTCTACTTTCTACATGCAGCTATCCCTCGGCATCTTCGGGGGGTTGGCTCCGGGACCCCTTGCAGGTACCACAGTCCAAGGATGCTCCAGTCTTCCATATAAAATGGTGTAGTACTGTCGGCTCTTTGTATCCACGGACGTGGAACCCTTGGATACGGAGGTCTGACTGTACACTAGAAGCAAGTCACCAAGGCAGCTCTGTTTTCAGGGGACGCAAATTTGACTCTGCCTTTTGGTGAAAGGAGTGTGGCAGAATTTGCAACCATGTATTCAAAGCCACATGTTTTTTCAGCGTTTCAGAACATCAGATAGTGTCCCCTTCTCTGGAGCACACTTGTCCTTCACGGGGGCAGCCGCACGTAGGGAGACAGCCAGGAGAGCTAGTGGTGGAAGGTTATGAACTCTATGCTGATTGGCTAGTTTGGAAACTAGATGAAAGTAATTTTTCCATTGGCTAACGTTGGCTATAAAGTCTAATGCTCAATTTGAGAGGAGCAAAAGGAAACATGAAGCCGAAAATTTATGAAAGGAAGGGAAGAGCACAAGGGCCGTGAACAACAGAAAGAAGCATCACCAAGTTTGTAAGCTGCTCTCCAGTCTGGAGGATGTGGTCCTGAGGTTTGGGTTTGGGGACTTTAAACACCTGGCAGGAGGCAGTTCTGAGTGTGTGCACACGTGTCTTCTTCTGGAGGCCAGAGCCAGGCTGGACCCTGAGCAGCAGAGGGCAGGTGTTGGCCGTAGGGACGCTGCCCGCCATGTGCAGCAGGAAGGGTGCGACGCTGTGCAAACGCCCTTCTCTGAGATGATCAGGATGTGGATGTGCCTTGTTTTGGGCTCAGTCTGTGCTAAAAAGCTACCAATTGTGTACTTAATTAAATGTAATTTTTTTTTTTTTTTTTTTTTTAGCACAAAGATTCTGTGGTTCCTTACCTTCTTCGACTTCTTAAAGGTCTTCCGAAAGTGTATTGGGTAGAAGAAAGCACAGCTCGGAAAGGCAGAGGTAGTTTTGCTTAAAGTTTCCCTGAATGCGAGGAAGCATCTGTGTGTTTCCCGTCTGTGAGGATTGAATGTTTAATCACACTAACGCGGCAGTTAGGATGCTTCTAGCTGGTTCCACTCCTGTGCCTGCAGCACTAGCGCTTTCTCACGTTGCCCAGAGCCCTGGGCGGGATGAGCGGAGCTGAGCAGGACCACGGGGACCCTCAGGAACCTTTGCTCATGTCCCATTGGCTGCCCTGGGTCCCCTGCTGTCCCTGAGCTGGTCTGTTGCCTCAGATGGAGAGGCTCACCCTGCAGTGAGGTCAGTTCTCCAGATGGCCTGGTGGCTGCACAGAAAGGAGGGCTGAGATGGGAGTTTGGGACTCAACCACTATGTCCACTGTCAGTAGTTTTATGGCTTTGTCGATGTTGCTAAGTTTCCACTGAACTTTGCATCTTTGCAAATGGAATAAATTCATGTGTATTTCTTTTTAACTTGTATTTGATACTGATCTCTCTTTAAGGTCAAAGAGAAAGTTAGATAATCTTTTCTCTCTTCCCCTCCACTGCCCTCCCCTCCCTTCCTCCCTCCCTCCTTGCCTTCTTCCTCCTGTCCCTCCCGAAGTATTTACATAGGTCCCCTACATGCCAGGCATTGTGCTAAACGCTTATAACACTCATGATCTTGTAAACGGATTTCCCAAGACTCCAAAATCAGCTTGGAAGATCTCCAACATTTCAGAGTTCATGACCCATGAGACTGAAGTTTCCTTGTAATCTCTCTCTCTGAGTCCAAGGCCCCCACCTTCAGATCTAGCGGGAGGTTGGTGCCTGCAAAGAACGCCCTTGTCCTTTCTGTTGGTGGCATGGCCTGAATTTGTCAGGTGGGCTCAGTCTGCTGGAGACTGTGCTGTCCTCATGAACATCCGCTTGTGCCTGCCCGTGTTCCTCTTGCCCTTTGAGTTTTCAGCATTTCTGGTGACTTACTGTACCTAAAGCTGACAGACCCCAAATTATTCAGGTGTCCTGGAATTTGAAAGACTACAGATTAAATAGAGCATTGCTGAAAAGTGAAACATCTGTGTCTACCATTGTTATCTAATTTGGGGAGAAGTAGAATACTAGAAAGTGTTGATCCTATTTTATTTCAAAACAAATATCACTTCTGTATGCTTGGACTCATTCGAATGAGTTTTTTAGCATTATTTAAACATTGTTAGAGACTTTCCTGGTGGCGCAGTGGTTAAATATCTGCTTGCTAATGCAGGGGACACAGGTTCAAGCCCTGGTCCGGGAAGGTCCCACATGTTGCGGAGCAGCTGGGCCCGTGCACCACAACTACTGAGCCTGCGCTCTAGAGCCCGCGAGCCAGAACTACTGAAGCCTGCGTGCCTAGAGCCCGTGCTCTGCAACAAGAGAAGCCACCACAGTGAGAAGCCCACACACCACAACAAAGAGTAGCCCCCGCTCACCGCAAGTAGAGAAAGCCCACACGCAGCAATGAAGACCCAACGCAGCCAAAAATAAATAAATAAAAAATAGATAAATTTATTAAAAAAAAACATTGGTAGAGATATATAAATTTCCAATTATTGGGTAATAAATATTTCAGTCTCCTAGTTTCTATTAAGGCAATATCACTTTTGCTTTGATAAACCCCATAGCAGTAGTTCTTAAAGGGCCATCCCTGGGCCAGCAGCATCAGCACCCTGGGAACTTGTCAGAAGGGAGATTCTCAGACCCCACATTGGAGCTACTGAGTTAGGAACTCTGGGCCTGGGAGTCAGGCAGACTGAGTTTCAACAAGCCCTCCTGGTGGTTCCGGCCACGCTCAAGCTTGAGAAGGACCTAGAGCTGCATTTAAGAATCACGTGTGTGGAAGTAGACACGCAGTGGTCGTCTGCTCTGTGTGTGTGTGTCTTTGAGTCAGTGCTCAACGTTCAAAATTGGTTAAATGTTTAATAGTGATTGGACCTCCTCGGCAGCAGGTCTAAACTTCCCAAAGTGCAGAAGTGGTGCTTCACTTGTGGTCTTTTGGGTGTAGTGCTCCCTTGACCTTGAGGCTCTGCTCCTGAGAATCTCCGTACTGGCAGGCTCAGTCAGGGAAGGGCTTAAAAACCTACAAGGAATAGAGCACATCTCTGGGTGCTCTTCTGAGGATTTTCTCCACCTGTCAGAAGAAAAAAGGAAAAAAAAAACATCAATTCAGTTAAGTGATAGTAATTGGTGTTTGACAGTTAGCCTCCATGGAACATCTCCCATAGTCTTACCAAGATTGATTTCCCAATTTTATTTAGGTTGGGAATAAAACATGGAATCTGTCATGTTGAGAGGCTCTGTAATCTCAGACTATAAATTGGCTCAGCAAACATTTCAATTTCTTGAACCAAAACATTTTATTACAAGGAAGGCAGGGGTGTTTCTCAGCGAACACCTTGGGCCCATATCTGTTCTCTGGAGGCTCATCCTGACGAGGGCGGCTTCCACTGTAAGCAGGTCCTTGGCAGCCGTGTGAGAGGGAACAGCCAGATGGGGTGGCCGGTCAGTGTGATGATCCGATTCCTGTCTTTCTGCCTCCAGGCACCCTCCCAGTGGCCGAGAGCTTCAGCTTCTGCTTGGTCACTTTGCTGTCTGACGTGGCTTATAGGGACCCTTCCCTCAGGGATGAGGTAAGTGTGTGGTGACTCAGTGTGTGTTTCCGTAAGATCTGAGAGTCCCAAAGTGATGACAGGGCAAAAAAAAAAAGTGATTGGATTGTTTATGTTGATTTATTTCATACTGTTAGTCACACACATGAGAAATGTTAAATCCTGCTTGCAGTGCTTAGTCCCCTGCTGACCTCCCGAGTCTTATCTCGTTCAGCTTTTCCAATTGCCCTGTGAGGTGGCCAGCAAAAGGTCACGCGTCCTCCTGCCTCAATGCTGGGGACTGACGTTCATAGGAGAAGATTTTCTGGAAAGCTGGAGCCGTTCCTTCAAGTGCTCCAGTTTTTTTAGTTTTAGTTTATTTTGTTGGAAATGTTACTTAAATGTATTTCATATTTCTCTCCTTTTATTTATTTATTTATATTTGGCTGCATTGGGTCTTCGTTGCTGCGAGAGGGCTTTCTCTAGTTGTAGCGAGCGGGGGCTACTCTTCATTGTGGTGCACGGGCTTTTCATTATGGTGGCTTCTCTTGTTTCGGAGTATGGGCTCTAGGTGCATGGGCTTCAGTAGTTGCAGCACACGGGCTCAGTAGTTGTGGCTTGTGGACTCTAGAGCGCAGGCTTAGTAGTTGTGGCACACAGGCCTAGTAGCTCCACAGCATGTGAGATCTTCCCGGACCAAGGCTCAAACCTGTGTCTCCTGCCTTGGCAGGAGGATTCTTTGTTTTTTTTTTTTTTGTTTTGTTTTGTTTTTTTTTAGAAGGAAGGTTTTCTTTGTTTTATTTTATTTTTTGCGGTATGCGGGCCTCTCACTGTGGTGGCCTCTCCCGTTGCGGAGCACAGGCTCCGGACGCGCAGGCTCAGCGGCCACGGCTCACGGGCCCAGCTGCTCCGCGGCATGTGGGATCTTCCTGGACTGGGCACGAACCCGTGTCCCCTGCATCGGCAGGCGGACTCTCAACCACTGTGCCACCAGGGAAGCCCTGGCAGGCGGATTCTTAACCACTGCGCCACCAGGGAAGCCCCCCTGTATCATTTTTAATTTTTAAAATCTCTTTCCTTACTATCACACAGTAAATTCTGTGTCCCTATTTCTGCCATTATGTTGGTCTCCACCCTTCTTTCTTAGTTTAGGTTCTTTATTTACTTGTGGGTTGGCTAAAGAGGTAACTAGATACGTTAGAATCACATATTATTTAAAAAGCTAACAGGGCTTTTCTATCAGTAACACCTATTGAAATAGGTCACCACAGAAGATGGTGGCATAACTTTAATACGTGAAATGGACGAAACATTGCTTTCCAGGTCCTCACTGTTCCGCATCATTTGACACTAGCAAAACGTGAGCAGTTTGGTGATGAACAAGTCACCTCAGACCAACTTCATTTTTCTGCCTGGATTCCCCAAGACTGGAAGCGGGGGAAGTGAGAGGGACTTGGTCTGGTGCTCTTCATCAGGGCCTGGACCACACCTCTCCTGACATCCTGGGTCAGCAGTGTAGCGGAGGGCAGGGTTTGCAGAGCCACCTGAAGGACCACCCCAGGGGCACCTGGCAGGAGTCTCTGGTCGCCTGCCCCCTGCGGTGGAAGCTGAACAGCTAGGACCAGCCAGGACCGGGGATGAAAATCCTGAAAGCAAGTCAGTCTCGTCTGTAGATGATTCGGATGCCAAGCTGGGAATCGAGGACCCTCGCAGTGAACTGAAGCTTATGCCCTGAGCTTTTGTGGGGCTCAGTGACGGGCAAAAAAATACCAGCCCTGCGGGTGGAGGGCACAGCTTGAGGCAGCATGTGTGAGAGACACTTAAGGATTTCATTTCTCTGTGAGTTCATGGAGCCAGCAGTGTGAAGGGCTGCTGGAAAGCCAGTGTCATGTCCACAGACGTCTGGGGTCCGTGCTGAGTCTGGTGATTACTCAGGGAGATCCCCAGCATCGCTGGAATAGTAGTGTGTTTTGTCTGAACGCTGCAGTTGGAGATGGTTTCTTACTCACTGAGCTATAGTGGAGTCAGGCAGGCCATCAGCAAGCACTTGAATCATAAGGAACGGATGGAAAGAACCAGGGGTGTTGAGCTGTGAAGAGAGATTGGGGGCCTGTCACCTGTTTCCAGAGTTAGGAGGCCTGTGGACCAGCCAGAGAGGGAGGGTTCTGTCCACAGAAGGTCTGTTGCCTGACCCCTCTGCAGAGCTTCCGTGCAGGGGGTTATGGATCAGGAATGAGGTTGGACAAGAGAATGTCTAAAGCTCCCTCTAGTTCTGAATTAATTTTGTGATATTTATCTGATTTTGTTTATAAGTTTGTGTGTTATGTTTCCTTGGCTATTCCAGATTTTAGAGGCGCTTTTGCAGGTTTTGCATGTCCTTTTGGGAATGTGCCAGGCCTTGGAGATTCAAGAGAAAGGTATGTTTTTCTTTTTATTGTTTGTGATTATCCATCCCCTTGCTTTTCCCAGTCTTCAGATTTTCTGTTCTTTGCAACCAGTGTATCTGGTGGACGTGACCTTTGCTGCATGTTAGCTGAGAGCCCACGTGGGGTCATGAGCACAGGTCTGCTGCCTGAATGCTGGGCCACTTCCCCCTCTGGGGCTCGGTTTCTTCACCTGTAACATGTCTGAAGGTCATTTTTCCTCTGGTGTGAGGCTACCAATCTGCTCCCAGAAGGACTAAATGCACTGATTAAGTCCCGTAAGGGAGCCTGCTCAGGTGACGTGGCTGAGGGACTGATTTGGAGGTGCTGTGCGTGGTTAAGACCTCCCACCCACAGGCCGTGTCTGCAGCCGTGGTTGAGGATGGATGGAAAATACTGCCGGTCAGTGCCTGGGCTTGGGCCTGTTGCCATGGCTAGTTCTGGCCCTTGGACTTGCTGGTGGGGGGCCCTGAGATGGGTGGTCCCAGGTCCCCAGGTGGTGCTGCCACGGCTTCCCTCTGCCTTCCAGAATACCTCTGCAAGTATGCGGTCCCGTGCCTCATAGGAATCTCCCGTGCATTTGGGCGTTACAGCAACACGGAAGAGTCCCTCCTGTCCAGGCTCTTCCCCAGAGTCCCTCCTCATTCCCTCCACGTCCCCGAGGAGCTGGAAGGTGTACGGAGGCGGTCCTTCAATGACTTTCGCTCCATCCTCCCCAGCAACCTGCTGGCGGTGTGTCAGGAGGGCACCCTGAAGAGAAAGGCCAGCAGCGTGTCCAGCATCTCGCAGGTGAGGCCATGCGCCCAGAGGGACAGGGGACGGGGGCTTGTTAGGTGCCCACTTGCGTGTAGTTTGAGGGAACTTGGGGAACGTGAAGGGTTCTCATTAGAGTTCTCTTTAATACAAAGGTTGCCTTGTCCTTTTTAAGATTTATAAGTGAGTCATCTCCTGGGAGGTGAAGTGTTTGGGCACCAGCTCTTTTCTGAGTGCAAGACAGTTGGTGCCTGTAGAGAATATGTAATTGACTCATGGAGAAAGACAGGGACACGAAACACTGACAATAGTCTGGCTCAGTCATCAGGTGTAGAATATATGGCTAGACACAAGAATTTAGAATTACAGTAGAGAACCTGTAGCCAGGGTGGGCTTCAGCGAGGAGGTGGGGCTGAACCAGGGCTCTGGCCAGCAGAGGGAGCCTTGTCTGAGACAGATCTGACTGAGGTCTGACTGGCCTTTCTTATCTGTGCGTGTGGTTGTGTGTTTCAGGTCAGCCCTGAACGAGGGGTGCCCCCTCCCAGCTCCCCTGGAGGATCCACCTTTCACTACTTTGAAGGTGGGCTTCGCCTTTCTGCTGACCGAGCCCCCAGGCACTGCTGTTGTGCATCTTGAGTGTCAAGCTTTTAGAAAGCATTTATTTTCTATTTTTGATTAAACTTCTTAAACTTGAATCTAAAAATATTTCAAACATAGAGAAAAGTGCAGACAATAATATACAGGACCCCAAATGCCTGCCATCTGAATCTTAGTACATTAACCTGTGAAAGCACTGCTTTTCAGGTGGAAATACTAGCGGTGGGTCCTTCTCTTGTTTCTTGTTGTTTAAGGTCATTAAGTGCGTGGATAATATTAAAGAACATAGTAATGAGACTGCATGTAATCCCTTATGTTTAATGAGTAATACTTTCTGTAGAGCTTTGCTGTTCACAAAGGACTTTCAGGTAATTTACTGAATTTGATTCGTGTGACAGCTCTGTGCAGTGTCAGACACTTGTTACAATAGCCTTCACCTTCTCCTCGAAGGAAGTAAGATGCAGATTGTGGGGAGGAAGTGGGGAAACAAGACCTCCACGCCTCATGGCACCATCCGTTCCATTATCAGTGACACCCCTGCATAAATCCCAAATCTTACACCTGTGGTTCCTGCAGCTCTGCCTTTTGCCTCCTTTTGTGTCCACCACGCGCTGGGTCAGCCACGCAGGATGTCATCCTCATGTCGTGTGTGTCCGGGTCACAGACTTCTTGCCTTCTCTTATGACTATCATTATTTTTTACAATAAACTGGTATGTCCTTAAGGTGAACGACATGATGGTTTGATATACATAAATGTGGTGAGGTGGTTACTGCAGTCAAGCCATTAACTATACATCTCCTCACATAGTCACCATTGTGTGTGTGCGTGTGTGGTTAGAGCACCTCCTCTCTCAGCGCATTTCTAGCATCCAGCACGGTGTAATTAGCTCTCTGGACTCAGCCCGCATAACTGTCATCTCCCCATTTCCCCACCTCCCGCCCCGGTCACCACACTCTCTGCTCCCATGTCTTTGAGTTTAGATTCCACATATAAGTGAGATTGTGCAGTTTTTTTCTTTCTGTAACTGGCTTACTTCACTCAGCATAATGCCCTCCAGGAATATTATTCAGCCTTAGGAAAGGAGATCCTGCCATTTGTGACAACGTGGATGAACCTGGATGTGATGCTGAGTGAGATAAGCCGGTCACACGGGTGCATATATAATGGAAAACACATGGAGCATGTGTGTTCATGCACACTGTACATATACATGTTTTATGTAGTTTTCACACACATTTCATGCGCGCACACACACACCCTTCCCACCTTCTTCCCACCTGTTCCCTTTAATTTGGCCTCACCCCACCCCCCGTCCGGCCCCCTCTGTGGCTTCACCGTGTTGGCCTCCAGCGTCTCAGCTCCTCTCAGTATTGTTGCCCCCGCTCTGTTGTAAGCTGCCTCCTGCTGTCATGGCTCTTAACCTGTAAAAAGGTGTCATTCTTTTTTTGTTGTTGTTCTTACATGTCTGGGTGGAAAATATTAGGACATGATTCTACCTAAGCTTTGACCTGAAACACCCCAGTGAGAGGCAACCCTCCCCAAGGATTTGCAATCCAGCTTTTACTTCTTTTTTTAATTGAAATATAGTTGATTTATAATGTTGTATTAGTTTCTGATATATAGCACAGTGATTCAGTTATACATATTATATTCTTTTTCAGATTCTTTTCCATTATGGTTTATTACAGGATATTGACTGTAGTTCCCTGTGTTATTCAGTAGGACCTTGTTGTTTACCTATTTTATATAGAGTAATTTGTATCTGCTGCTCCCAGATTCCTAATTTATCCCTCCCCCACCCCCTTTCCCCTTTAGTAACTGTAAGCTTGTTTTCTATGTCTGTGAGTCTGTTTCTGTTTTGTGAATAAGTTCATTTGTGTCATGTTTTTTAGATTCCACATATAAGTGGTATCATAACGATATTTGTCTTTCTCTGTCTGACTTACTTCACTTAGTAACTTAGTATGATGATCTGTAGGTCCATCCATGTTGCTGCAAATGGCATTATTTCATTCTTTTTTATGGCTAAGTAGTATTCCGTTGTATATATACGTACCACATCTTTTTTTTTTTTTTTTTTTTTTGCGGTACGCGGGCCTCTCACTGTTGTGGCCTCTACTGTTGCGGAGCACAGGCTCCAGACGTGCAGGCTCAGCGGCCATGGCTCACGGGCCCAGCCGCTCCGCGGCATCTTCCTGGACCAGGGCACGAACCTGTGTCCCCTGCATCGGCAGGTGGGCTCTCAACCACTGCGCCACCAGGGAAGCCCCCACGTCTTCTTTATCCATTCATGTGTCAATGGACATTTAGGTTGTTTCCATGTCTTAGCTATTGTGTATAGTGCTGCTATGAACGTTGGGGTGCATGTATCTTTTGTATTAGAATTTTCTCTGGATATATGCCCAGGAGTGGGATTGCTGAATCATATCAGCCTTTACTTCACATGGAATTTGAGTGTAAACAAAAGCAAAATCGATACCGTTGTTGGTTCTTGAGGGAGTATCTGGGTCTCATACTCCCACGACTGACTTTCTGGTTTTGCCCCGTCAGCCTCTTACTTGCCTGATGGGAGTGCCCTGGAGCCCGACTACTACTTCTCCACCATCAGCTCCAGCTTCTCCGTTTCTCCTCTTTTCAATGGCATCACTTACAAGGAGTTCAGTATTCCCCTGGAGATGCTCCGGGAACTCGTAAACCTGGTAAGCATAGCCTTGATGGATAGATGGACCACGGGTATATCAACCAGTGGAATTGCTAGTTGTGTCAACCTATATTTCACAGCACAGCTTGGTAGTCACAGTTTTCAGATTAAAGAGGGAAGGAGGGACACATCCTCGGAGTTGCTGTGCAGCATGTTCTCATTTGTCCCTGCAGCCGCCACGTGGGGCGCGGCCATGCGTCCCCTTGTTAGAGGTGAGGAAGTTGGTGTCAAGTACCTTAAGGGCTAAGGGCAGGGCCCAGGCTCAGGCTGTGGTCCGACCCCAAGCCCACCTGCTCTTGCACTTGACCCAGCTCAGGGGCTGCTCTGTTTGGAGTAATACAGAGCTAATGTTTCCTGTCTGGGGACCTCTGTGTAACCTTTGCAGTCGCATCAGAGATGCCATTGTCTGAGTCCTGGAGTGGCTGGGCCTGTGACCCACCCCTGAAGTTGCCATGCTTGTACCGGGGTGCTGCATGGTGGGTTTGGGTGGGCCAGGACAGACTCCAAAGACAGGGCTTTCTGCTTTGGAACGAATGAGAGAGAAGAAGAAGGTCAGGGTGAGGCGGGGGCCAGGGACATGGCGCTTGCCTGTGAGGAGTGTGAACAGAAATGGCCCAGAGGTGGTGGCTATGGGTGGAGAAGTAAGAAGATGACCCAGTGTCGGCGGGCAGGGTGGAGCCAGGGTGAGCTGCTCAGTAGCCGGCTGGCCTGAGACCCCCCAGCCGGCCACGCTGTCAGTGTCCCGACGGGACAGCAGCTCTTTAGGGTCGTGTCAAGAGATTCCAGTTGAAGGCTGGATGTCTTGGGTCGTTCAGGGGAATTTGTTTTTCAGTTTTTTTTAACTTTCAAGGTTAGGTTTTCTTCTAAACCATTTTTAAATTTCTTCTCCTGGCATGTCATTTATCATTATCCATATGTTTTAAAAATAACCTTAAATCACTGTAATGTGGAGGCAGTTTTCTCCAGCGGTTCTCGGTCGGCAGAACAGTTCTTCCTGTCCTGAGCACTGGTACAGAGTGGGGCCGGGGTGGGGGTGGCCAGTGCTCCTGTGAGGAATTCGCAGTGTGTGCTGCAGCGCCCGGAAGAGCCAGCGCCCTGGCCCGGGGAGGGGGCATCGTTGGCGCCTGGGGACCAGCTGTGACGGGGGTCTGCCACGTCCGGGAGGGGCCTCGGGGGGGGGGGAATCAGTCTTGCCTGGAGTCTCAGTGCTTTTGCTTCCTGGAAATGGAAACCTCATGTACCCAGATTTGAGGGAGTTGGTTCCTTTTCTGTTTTTATTTCATTCCCATCTATGGTAAGAAAGAAGTTCTAGGTGATGGCAGGATTAGGGACATTTGTGTGTGTATTGGAGCCTTGGGGCTCCAGTGATGTGCTCATTGTTGGCCTCTTATTTCCATCCATTTTTCACTGTGAGCTTGTGATATGGTTTCATACGTCAGCACGATTTGTTCTTCAGTGGAATGAGCTGGCACTCCTGTCTCCCCCTATGTGTGCCAGGTGCTCACGAGGTCTCGTTTCCCTTGCAGGTGAAGAAGATTGTTGAGGAGCCTGTTCTCAAGTCCCTGGATGCAGTCGTAGCCAGCGTGATGGAGGTACGTCCCTTTGAGGGCATCACGCTGAGATCACCTACCGGGCATACCTGTGTGGGGGGAGTGGGGAGGGTTTGCAGTGGGTGGGGTGGGGCCACTGGAGTGAGGGAGAGGCTCGCCCTGAGACTTCTGCGTACGTTCCAGTGACGACAGCACACCTGACGCCCAAGGGCTTGCCCTGTGCCTGGCTCCTTTAGATGTGTCCCCTACCGGTGCCCCATCCTGGCCCCTGAGCAGTGGTCAGGGTCTCTACTTCACAGGTGAAAGCAGAGGTTCGGGGAGGACTAGCTGGTGCCCGCGTCCCATGGTCAGCATGGGAGCTGGATTGCGGCCTGGGCCCCAACTCTGCTCCATTGTGGTCCTTGCCCCCACGGTGCCTGCAGAGCCACTGCCAGGGCTCGGTACACACCCCTCATCAGTCCAGGCACTGCAGGCCCTGGCTTGTGAGTGTGAGGGGTGTGTACTCAGGCATCTTCTGTCCTTAGCATGTTTGGAACCAAGGCCCACAGCTTTATTCATAAAATCATTAAATGTTGCTGCTGGGAGGCCTCAAAGTCCCTGGGAACATTTGGGTCAGCCCCCTTTTGTCAGGGTCCAGAGAGATCACCGATTTCCAGGCTGATGACTGCTGTGGCCATGTGCTGGGCTCAGATTCCTTGTTAAGCCTGGCATTCTTTCTCTCATCCGATTATAAGACATGCAGCGCCTGGCACCACCAGGCTCAGTTATGAAGCAGGAAGGGTACCACCAGGGACCTCCCTATGCTGCAGACCACAGCTCCTGCCCTTCACGCGCTCCACCCCGCTGTCTGCGGGCATTAGGTGTGTGGCTGGTCCGCAGCCCTCCTGCCCGTGGGCCTGAACTCTCACTGTGCTTGCTCTCAGAGGTGTCCTGGTGTCCTTTGTCAGTGTGGGGTCGTGTGACCCTGGGCAAACCAGGAGGCCAGGGCTGGAGCTGGGCTGGCAGGCACAGCAGCCAGACGTGTTGGGCCCGAGTGCCGTCCGTGGTGAAGAGCTGGCTTGGGTCCTGAGGGGAGAGGAATGCCAGGAACATGGGGCTTTGGGGCCCTTTTCCCCGCAGAACAGAGCAGTTTCACATATTTGGTTTCATAATTTGGACTTTAGTGTAAATGTCCATTTGAAGAATTGGTTTTGTGGCTAAAAAAAAGCTCGAACCCGAGTCACTGCAGGATAATCCTCCTCCTCATCCACCTTCACTGGCAGTGACCGTGCTTATTATGTGCCAGATGTGACTCCATCTCCTTGAACCCACGGCACACCCACTCTCAGCTGGGAAGACAGAGGCTGGCAGGGCCTTCATCACACAGCTCTGGGGCCCTGGGGCCGGGCTGCACCGCCCGGGTTCCTCCCTCCTGGCTCTGGGGTGGGACCCCTGCTCACCTTAACCTCAGCCAGTGTCACATCTGCCCTGCAGGGAGTCATGAGGACTGTGCCTGTAGGGCCATTTGCGCAGCGCCCTCTGATGGCACCGGTGCCCATGGGACACGGCCTCCACCAGCCTCGCCCCGCAGGCCCCTTCCCGCTGTGGATTTGCCTCCGCATCTGCCTTCCCCGCGCTTACCTGTGTCAGAACTTTTGTAAATCGTGCCTTTCCATTGCACTAGACTGAGGGTGCAGAAAAATTAACAGCATCTTACTCAACTCACTAGACCTCGGATGAATTTTTTTCCCCAGAAGAAAACTAGCGTCACGTTTTAGATGAGATTGCTAAAGAAAATTTAAAGTGAATTTTAGTTACAAAACGTAGGCCGAATCCGAAGGTGCCCCTGCTGTTGTGTCTATGACTGATGGGGACAGGGTGCAATGTGGTCTTGTGGCCCTGTGGCTCCTGCACCCCCACTCTCCTTGTTCAAAGATGCCTGGAGAGGGTGAGCCCTCAGTGAGAGGAGGTGGTCCATCCTCCAGGGGCCCGGGGCTGCTCCCCGCAGGCATCTCTGGGCAGTGTGAGCGTAGGAGGGAGGAGGGAGTCACTGCAGTGACCGGCGGTGCCAGTCACGCGTCCCATGCCTCTACCCGCAGGCCAACCCCAGCGCCGACCTCTACTACAGCGTGTTCAGCGACCCCCTCTATGTGGCCACATTCAAGATGCTACGGGACACTCTGTACTACATGAAAGGTGAGGGTGGGGTCCTGCCTTTGTGCCAGGGCCGCTTCACAGCATCTGCAAGGAACGTGGACACGTTCCTGGGAGAAGCAGGCGATGAGGGACATGCATGTGTCATCCTGCCCCCGGTGCTGCCAGCAGCGCAGCCTCTTTGGTGGGTGTGTCTCCTCGGCTGATGTCTGACACGGACGTGTGGGGTCGTCCTGATCCCCTGGTCAGGCATACAGTCTAATGTGTCTGCCTTACATGTTTCAAAACATTAAAAAAATGAGAAAACGAGGCAGTCATGATCTTACAACTCAGAATAATTTGTCAGTAGCGGAGCTCACACACGGAGTTAGCAGTTCCTTCCAGGCTCTCTTGTGTGTTTTAAACACAGTTTTCCTAGGCTCTTCCCTTAAGTTGCTGAATGTGCTTCATAAACAAAAGCTTTGATGACCACATGGTGTCCTGTGGGTGTCCCATAATCTCCTTAGCTGTTTTCCTGATCTGATTCCAAGCACTGCTGGGGCCTGAGCCTGGTTGGGGCCACCATGAGGGCTAGGTTCCCGAAAAGCGGCAGGTGCTGGCTGCTCGGCCTGACCCCGGAGCCTGTGGCCTCCCCTAGCCAGTCTGCTGCTGGCTTTCTCGGCCAGTCTGCCCTCTGCCTGTGCCGTCTCTCGGGTCTCCTGCACTGTCCAGGCCCGAGGACGAGAGCTGGGAGAGGCTGCAGACTGGGTGCCTTCATGTGCAGGGGGTCCTCCTCGGGCTGCATCCAGCTTTCCCACATCTGATAACTGACGCCCTTTTTAGAAAGTATCACAGGAGTACTTTTCGTTAATCAGACCAGTTCTGGTGATGGCACTCCCCAGGTTGTGTCTCGTGTTCAGGTTTGAGTGTATTGACAGCTTAAAACAAAGCATGGCTCGCATTTCGCTGGGAGGTGACCATTCTGAGTGTCAGGTAGCATGTGTGCAGGGCTGGCGTGCGTGCCCGTCCTGGCTCGCCCCAGCCGGCCTTCCTGGAAGCATGGTAGCCAGCAGCAGCTCCCTCTCCCTGGGTGTCTGTCGCAAGGGAAAGACCACGGCTGCTCACAGCCTGAATCTGTGCCCGCTCTCCCTCCTGCAGACCTGCCCACCTCCTTTGTGAAGGAGGTCCATGACTTCGTGCTGGAGCAGTTCAACACCAGCCAGGGGGAGCTCCAGAAGATCCTGCATGACATGGACCGGACCCACAGCGAGCTGAGCCCCCTGAAGCTGCGCTGCCAGGCCAGTGCCGCCTGCGTGGACCTCATGGTGTGGGCTGTGAAGGACGAGCAGGGTGGGTTCCCCGTGCCACTGCCTGGCGTGTCCTCCGCTTACGAGGAGAGGAGGGGGCTCAGGGCAGAAGATGGTGCTGGTCCAGGAAGGTGGGGCTTCGGGGGGAGCCATGCTCAGGACACAGGACAGGGTGGGGGCTGGCAGTGGAGGGATAGCCCACCCCGCAGGATGGTGTCGTCATAGCAGCAGGAAAGGAGCAGGGACGCCCACCTCCGACACTTTGTGGTGGAGCCGCTTCTCAGAGTTAGTGAGCCCGGGGTTTAGTCACGTTCTATTTTGACTGATGAAGGAGTTTTTGTGACCATTGGCCTTTGCTAAAGGTCCTTACCCTCCTCTGTTCTGAACTTAGGTGCAGAGAATCTGTGCATCAAGCTGTCTGAGAAGCTGCAGTCCAAGACATCCAGCAAGGTCATCATTGCTCACCTGCCCTTGCTCATCTGCTGTCTGCAGGTCAGTCTCAAGGTGGGGGTGGTTGGGGGCACGGTGCTGACACCCGTCAGCAGGGCCTTCTTTTTTTTTTTTTTTTTTTTTCTTTTGAGGTACACGGGCCTCCCACTGTTGTGGCCTCTCCCGTTGCGGAGCACAGGCTCAGTGGCCATGGCTCACAGGCCCAGCCACTCCACAGCACATGGGATCCTCCCAGACCGAGGCATGAACCCATGTCCCCTGCATCGGCAGGCGGACTCCCAACCACTGCACCACCAGGGAAGCCCCAGCAGGGCCTTCTTGCCGTGGCCAGGCTGTGGGGGGCACCAGCAGCGAGGTCTGAGCTGCTGCCTCTAGGAACTTGAACTAGAGTCTGCTGTGGACAAGTTCAGTGCTGGGAGGCCACTGCTGACGGCCAGCAGGCTTTCTGCGAGTGGGGTCCAGGCACAGCCAAGTCCTGCGTTGTGAAGGCTGCCCTGCATCTGCCGGGTGTTCCCAAGGCCTCAGACGCCAGCCTGCTGTGCCGAGACTCTGACCTTGTCCCAACCCCACTGACTTCACGTCTGCTGTTGTGTAAAAGTAATGCTTGGTGCCCTTTCTCCCCTAAATTTCTTCTAAAAGAGATGGACACACTTTAACAGTGAATCTCACCTTTGGGTGGAGAAAGTCCCAACCACCCCCTTTCTGTCTTTGTGCCCCATGGCCGGGTGGCCCTTGGAAGTCTGATTGACTTGGTGTCTGAAGGGGTGGGCACCTCCCCTGCGGCCCCTGATGGCCCGCTGTGCGTTGCAGGGTCTGGGCCGCCTGTGCGAGAGGTTCCCGGTGGTGGTGCACTCAGTGACGCCATCCCTGCGGGACTTCCTGGTGGTCCCGTCCCCCGTGCTGGTGAAGCTGTACAAGTGCCACAGTCAGTACCACACAGGTAACTGGCCGAGAGGCCGCCATCCCTGGGCTGCTCCTCTGCCTTTTCCTCCCAAGGCTTCCCCTGCACAACCCCCTGGGGTGCCAGGCCTCCCTCACGCTGCCACTGCCCCAGGCCCCGCTCCAGGCCTGCTCTTTTTGGCACCTGCCCTCTCTGGGGCATTCTGCAGTGTGCGTCCCATGTCCCAGTGCTGGGCCTGGAGCTCTGTCCCCTCCGCTGCCACAGGCCCAGAGCACGGCTGGTGACCAATGTTAATTAAGTACCCTGCTGCGCACTCGGGTGCTGCAGTGGTATCACCATGCTGCCCCCAGTCCCACCAAGGTAGTCCCACCCTTCAGGTGGAGAGACTGTGAGGGCCCTGCTCTCACGCTTGCCCACCCTTCCCACCTTCCTGCTCGTGAGCTGGATGCCCTCAGGCCATGCCCTTGCCTTTCTGCTGGAGCTGAGCTCCTAGGGGCCAGGACTTCTGAATCATTTCTTAAGACGTTGCTGTTTTATGTATTCATTGCTTTGTAACTTAAGTGTGCTTCCTTGATTTAAACATTTGTTTCATTCTTTCTGTTCTCTGACACTTTGGATTCTGAAATGCTTGGTGAAGTCTTTGTAAAGTGATTGCTTTTATAGCTAAAGATGATTACATTTGATTTTGGTTTTGAATTTCAAACACGGGTATGGAAAGTGACAGGCGTAACCAGATAGATATTTGAACTTTTACTTCCAGTTGCCGGCAATGATATAAAAATCAGCGTAACCAGTGAGCATTCCGAGTCAACCCTGAATGTGGCGTCGGGGAAGAAGAGCCAGCCGTCCATGTACGAGCAGCTGCGGGACATTGCCATCGACAACGTCTGCAGGTGGGCGGCCTCAGGGGGTGAGGGGGACAGGGGCGGGATGTCAGGGAGAGCCAGAGACATTATTGTTCAGGGAAGCTTCTAAACCTGCACTGGATCCGAGAAGGGAGATTGCTACATGTTAAAGAAAAAAAAAAATTTCCTGCCTTTCTTTTCTTGATCATAAACGTAATAAAAAACAGAGAAAACCCGTGATTTGTAGAAAAGTAGACAGAAAAGAATTATCCCTTAGCCCGTCATCCAGAGTGATGACATGTGGTCCTATTTCATCTTGTTTTCCGTGTGATTTTTGGTATGAATGAGAGGTTTTACATGCCCGAATGTCCCTTCAGCACCAGCTCCATCTGTGTGAACTCTTGCTGTCCACACTTGGGGACCAGATACATTCTGATTTGCAGGAGACGTACCTCTCCTTGTCTGAGTCCTGGCGCCTCGCTCTCGGGGCCATCGGGCTGGAGCCCAGCTACTCTGTCAGACTGTCTTCTCTGACTTTGTGGCCTGGGAGCCAAATGTGTGGGGAGCGAGAGATGCTTGTAAGATTTCATGCTCCTCAGGGCTGTTAGATTTCCCCTTCTCTAGAGCATAAGCATTTCTCCATACTATTAAAACCTCGATATGTAATTTTAACATTCCCTCAGCCGCCGTGGGACCATCTATCTTTCGAATCAGCTATTGTGACTTCTGTTGAGAAACGGAATTTTAAATTGGAATTGGCATGAGTATGACACCCTAAAGGAGATCGTTCTGGGCAAGATAATGAAGTTACTATTTTCAACTGAGATACTTGTCAAAGGGTGAAATCTACAGCTGTTCTTTGAATTCATTCTGTGTAATGATGTTCATTCAGATTTCTGGGAAAAGAGTATTCAGAGCGGGTCTTTAAACCTTGCAGACCCGAGACAGGAAAAACTCAACCAAAATCAAACACAAAATGCTCATCTGGTTATTCTGATGCCTCATTCTGCTTGGCCTCCTCCTTGCTCAGGTGCCTGAAGGCTGGCTTGACTGTGGATGCAGTGATCGTGGAGGCCTTCCTGGCCAGCCTCTCCAACCGGCTCTATATCTCCCAGGAGAGCGACAAGTACGTCCTGTCCTGTCCAGGGGGGTGGGGGCGGGGGCAGCTGGTCCTGTGCAGGCTCATGGGGCCGCTGGCATTTGCACGTCTATGCCGCTTTCTGGCACGGAATGGCGTCGGGCATTGAGTCTGTCCCGCGATGTCTGCTGAAGCCCACCTTCGAATGTCCACCCTGGACACTGGGGGAAAAGACCTGTCTTCCCGCCTGGTGCTGGTGATTGCAGATCCCAGGCTGTCACTTTCAGATGGACGCTTCCTCTGAGAGACTGATGACCCTGGGGTCCAGGTCCTGGCTTCCGGCTTCATTTCCCTGCTGCGTGCTGGAGCACCATTCCCAGGGCGTGTCTGTCCTTCCTTCCCATAGGGATGCTCACCTGATTCCAGACCACACCATCCGAGCCTTGGGCCACATCGCAGTGGCCCTGAGGGACACCCCAAAAGTCATGGAGCCAATCCTGCAGATCCTACAGCAGAAGTTCTGCCAGCCCCCCTCCCCGCTTGACGTGCTTATCATCGACCAGCTTGGCTGCCTGGTCATCACCGGAAACGTAAGCACGGCCAGGAACCCACTCTCCCTGGGCAAGCTTCGCGAAACTCCTTGATTCCCAGAAATGTGAAAATACACATTAAGCTTACCCTGCGGAAGAGTTAAATGCTCCCAACTTTCTTAACACCGAATGGTGAGATTTTTTTCCAAGTAAAGGAGAATAGTGTAATGGTTCCAAGAGTGCCGGAGAAAGAGGTTTAAACTATTTTCTTGCCGATGTTAATAGAATAGAATGGAAATGGAACCTATTCCACTCTTGGTGTCTAAGTTGAGGTTTGCATAAACCTTTAGGAAGGGCTGGCCTTGATGCTATTTCAGGCCCCACTGTCCCTGGTCCCCAGTGTGTCCCCTCTGGGTGTCCATGGAGGGCGCTCCCAGAGGAGATGTGGTCACATGTCCCTCACTCTTTTCCAGCAATACATTTACCAGGAGGTGTGGAATCTCTTCCAGCAGATCAGCGTGAAGGCCAGCTCTGTTGTGTACTCAGCCACCAAAGATTACAAGGACCACGGCTACAGGTAAGTCTTCCCAACCTCATTGTTGCTCTTGATCCTTTGAAAATGTGAGATGTGGGGACTTGTCTTTTAAATAAACATCTTTTCTTACAAAAGCACTACATGTTAGAAATACATGTACCCAGGCGGGAATGACCCGCACAGGGCCGCCCCTGAGCTAGCATCTCTGAGCTCCTCACCCAGTGGGCACAGCGCCCCCGGGTGACCGTGTTCTCACAGAGCAGCACCAGCCTTCCTGCCTGTCGTCATCTTAGATGTCAGCATGGTGTCCATCAGGTGGCAGCGCCGCAATCTGTCTGGCCAGCCCTAGGCCGCACATTAGGTAGTTTTCCAGTGTTTCTGCTGGTCGGTGCTGCATACCTGTGTGGTCTCGGATGCTCGCCTCAGGGTGGATTCAGAGGGCAAGGGAGGAGACGTTGACAGCCTTGGGTGTATGATGTTTGCGTGAGTCCTCGCCCTCCCCAGGGATGCCCCAAGGACGAGACGCGTCCTCCTGTGTTTGGAGGATCTCATGGACTTGGTCAGATGACGTCAGGAGGGCGGTGGGCAGGGCAGAGGTTCTCCTCTCCCCTCCTGACCACTCCACCCAGGGGAGGGGGTGGGAGTGCGGCTGTGTGAATGAACTCAGGACATGCTCATCTTCTCTGTGCCTTAACTTCCTCACCAGCTGTGTGGGTGTATGAGGCTGTGTGTATGCATGTGACAGCTCTCAGCACAATGGCTGCTTCTCTGCCTTCTCACTGCCGCTCCCATGGGAGCGCCAGCCACTGGAACGCAGGAGTGGCCTTAGGGCCGCCAGCTCACCTCCCTCTCCTGTCTGTCCGTTCTGGTCTCCGCAGTGACACTGACACACAGACCAAAACCTCTTCCCCTTGCATCTTGCTCCCAGAGCAGCTCCTGCGCCTCCTCACCCCTCCCCTCCCTGTCTTTCCTTCTGACCTCTGATCCCGCCTCTGCCTCGCTGCTCGGCCCGTGCCATGTACGGAACTTACCAGTTCCTCATCTCTGCCACATTTCCTTCCTAAAGCACTTTCTGACAGTGCCACCCACAGTAACTGGTCTCCCGCTGGAGGAGGCATCCACTGCCATCCGTTTTCCCCCTAGAGATTTGTCTGGGAAGGGGTGCCTTTTGTCCTGGCTGCCGTTGCTCTGTGATTTTGGGGGCAGACAATGTGCTACATGCTTCACAGGGACTGTTTGATTCCCCCACGCCCTGCAAGGAGGAAATTATTATCCTTGTTTACTCAGGAAGAAACTGGGCCTTAAAGACCTGAGCTACTTGGTATAGCCCGGCTGCAGCAGCATCCAGCTGACCTGGCACTCAGAGCCTGGCCGCCCCGCTGGTGTGCAGTGTCAGCTTCCTATTCAGGGTTTACATGGGGTGACGGGGTCGGGGCAGGTCATCAGGACCACTGAGCACTTCCTGAGTGTCTGGTGTGAGCTGACCCTAACCTCAGCCCCAGGTGGAGGAGGAAGTGTCGTCAGGGTTTCCTGGGTGGTGGTGATGAAGGGAGACTGTAACTGGAGGGGAAGTGGGTCCCCTGGAAGTGCCGGGGAGCGACATGCCCGTTCTCAGCTGCGTGGCCGCCCAGGCACTTGGAGGAAGTGTCCCGAGACTGTCAACACGCCCCAACACGCAGGCTCCTGGAAGCTGAACAGCCCCTGGGCCCCCAACTTGTCTTGAGGGAGGTTGGGGTCTCTTCCGCAGCAGCTGACTTTCCTTCAGGGCTGGTATCCTCTGGTGGCATGTCCCTCGCCTTGGGGGTCTTCGTTCACAGTACTGGGGGCCGGCACTGTGGCCGTGTCACTTCTCTCCCACAGGCACTGCTCACTGGCTGTGATCAATGCCCTGGCCAACATCGCGGCCAACATCCAGGACGAGCACCTGGTGGACGAGCTGCTCATGAACCTGCTGGAGCTGTTTGTGCAGCTGGGGCTGGAGGGCAAGCGGGCCAGTGAGAGGGCCAGCGAGAAGGGGCCCGCCCTGAAGGTAGGGCTCAGCCCTGGGCACCGCCTTGAAACCCGTGCTTTCTCCCTTTACCTGGTGACATCAGGAACGGGGGACTGGTTCCTTCCCAGGGTGCTGGCGGGAGTGAACAGACAGACAAGGGGCTGCCCCTGCAGGCTTAGCGGGACAGGCATGGGAACAAAACAGGGGCATCGGGTGGTCTCAAGGCCTCTCTGAGGTGGAAGCGAGTGAACAGCAGCCTCGAGTGAAAGTCTCACCTAGGAGCGAGGGGCTGGTGCAAACAGGGCCTGAGACCCTTTGCCCTGCTCAGCCCTGCCTTGCTCCCCGCCACAGCAGGCTAGGCCACTGTTCCTCTTGTCTCCTGAGTGGGGCCCAGCTCCCTGTGCCCAGGAGATGGGGGCTCGAGGGTGTTGGGGAGACACCTGGAGCCCAAGGAGGCCGAGGCTGTACCCTATTGAGGGCTCTAGGGCCCAGCTCCCCCACCCCCACCCCCACCACTCTCACTGCATCTCCCGGGCTCAACACTCAGGTGTCCTGCTTCGTTCCTCGGCTGGGGTAGGGGCTCCATGGGTGCCGAGCTGAGCTTGCCCATGCACCCACCCCCCACCTACAGTGACAGGCCAGGTGTCTGTGGGGCAGCAGTGGGGAGTGGGGTGGGGTGGAGACTGGCCAACACACTGACCACCAGGAGCTGAGGACAGAAATCAAGAGCTGGGGGGACACCAGCTTAGGACTCTGTCCCCACCCCTGCATGGCCATGGGGCCTTGGCAAGGTGTCCTGACCCTGTTCATCCCTGAAGATGGAGCAGCCCTGCTGCAGTGGGCAGTCGATGCCCTCATGGTCAACTGAGCAGCTGGGCTTCCCGAGTCAGGCTGCTCCTCATGTGTCTGGCCAGGTGGCTGACTTTTTACTTAGTTTTGTTTTTTTTTTTGTTTTGTTTTTGTTTTTTTGCGGTACGCGGGCCTCTCACTGTTGTGGCCTCTCCTGTTGTGGAGCACAGGCTCCGGACGCGCAGGCTCAGCGGCCATGGCTCACGGGCCCAGCCGCTCTGCGGCATGTGGGATCTTCCTGGACCGGGGCACGAACCCGTGTCCCCTGCATCGGCAGGGAGACTCTCAACCACTGCGCCACCAGGGAAGCCCTACTTAGTTATTTTTAAGTAACCCCCAAATTTTCCCAGACTTGGAAAGAATGTGTATTCATTATAGAAAAGATACAGAAACCTATAAATAGTAGAGTAAAAATTTCTCTCCTCAGATCCAATCGTCATTAACCTTTTGACAGACTTTCTCCTAGGTGTTTTATGCAAATCTATTTATTTTACATAGTTGGCACTGTGTGAGAGCATACTTTCTTACATTTAACATTTGATCTGGGCACTTTTTAAGGTAACAGTGCTTTTCAGAGCGCAGTCTCTGTAACAGCTTGTGATATTTGTGCAGAGTTGTCACGGTTTATGTAATCCTTCTCCTGTTTGACATTCAAATTGTTTCCCTCTTTTGCTGTTAAGATGATGCATCTTTATACATGTTTCTCTGTATATCTTTTTCATTGTTTCGTGTAGATTAAGGAATTTCAGTTTTCATGACACTGTGTCAGGTCTTTTTTTTTTTTTTCTTTTCAATGAAAGAAGTGCGGGCTCATCAGTGACTCAGTTCTGTTCTCCTCCAGGCCTCCAGCAGCGCGGGGAACCTGGGCGTCCTCATCCCTGTGATCGCTGTGGTGAGTACCCGCCCATTGGTGTCTCGGACTCAGGTGCGGTGCTCGTGCTGAGTGCTGCCCAGAGACCTGCAGCGAGTTCCCTGAAAGGTGCTGTTCTGAGGCTGCAGGGATCCTGCAGCTGTGGCTGTGTCTCCGATCTTCCGCGACTGCCCCGTGGGCATGTGCCTGCTGTGGCCTTGCTGCCTCGCCCCCTTTCTCCATGCTTGGCCGAACCCCTGGCCAGCTGACCAGGACCCTACTGCCTGTTCCTCGGGTGTCGGGGTCTGACTTAGGTTTTCCCTGAGCCCCCACCTGGCTCAGGTGCCTCTGACTATGGCCTGCAGGTGCTGTTTCCAACCCCTCCCCCCACCCCCAACCCCCCATAGTGAGCCTGGGGCCTCTGGTTGGTGCCTGGGCCTTGGGGCTGCAGCCCTTGGTGCCCTGTCGGAGATGGCTCAGGCCTGTCTCTGCCGCAGCACTGCCGCAGTCAAGGGCCGGTGTCCGTCTTGTCCTGTCTCAGCCTGCGGCCACTTCTTCCCAAATAGCCCTTACGGATGTCACTTTTCCTGGCCCAGGCGTTCCCAGCTGCCAGACCTGAGCCAGGCCCGCATCCGGCTTTGTTTCATTGGTGATTCTCGAGCTCCCACCTAGCCTGCCTTCTGCTTAAGCCCCTGCTTCCGCCTCCAGTTCTCCCTCTTCGTTCGAGCCTCGAGCATTTACGTGGGTGTCCCCGCACGTGGAGAGGTTGACCTCCGGCTGCGTGGTGACCCAGGGGCGTCGAGGCCCGGTGGGCATTTGGGGAGCCCTCTCCTATCTCTGCAGAGTAGTTTCGGTCTCTGCTTCTGTGGGCATTTGTCATTTGAGTCTGGGGACCGTTGGGGGTCCAGTGTCAGCCGACCAAGGCGGATGGGAACCGGCAGCTATAACTGGCTTATCGTCCCTGGCTCTGATAGTGAGACTGATAGTCGCGGACTATGTCTGGGGTGGGGGGGTGGGGTTCCGTCTCGGGCCACCCCCACCCTCTGCCTGTCCCCTCCTCCCTCCCCCGAAGGTGGCTGACTCAGCCGGGCTCCAGGACAGCATCTCTCCCCAAGCGTGCTGCAGGGTTGGAGCTTGGGCTTGCCTCATGCCTCCCACTTTCCCCGGGAGCCCTCCCACCTCTCCCTGCGGTCAGGGCCCCCACAGCCCCTCGAGGGCCTGTGGGTTGCTGGGACCCTGCCGGTTTACACCAGCACCCACAGGTCGGTTTCTAAAGACGTCATGGTTGACGTCAACTCGCGTATAGTGCATTGAGAAGCGCCACGAGGACACTTTGTTGGCCTGGAGGGAAGGGCGAGGGGCATGAAGTCCTTGGCCCGTGGAGGGCTCCATGGAGAGCAGGTTTGGTAGGCAGGGAGCACGCCCGGGGGGCCTCTCAAGTTAACGAGTTCTGGGATATTTGAGCCCCACAGTTCTCTGACCCGTATGTATGCCTGTGAGCTTGTAAGTGTGGTTGGCGGTTGTTGTTTGGAGTTTAATAAATGCATGGAAGAAGTCTATAGGGGACACTTCGCACTTTGGGGGAGCGATGACTTGTAGGTTTGGTTGGGGGCACACCAGTTTTAGGGTCACTGGGTCCGGAGTTGGACTCCTGGCCCCGCATGTGGGGTCCTGGGAGAGTGTCCCCAGTCTCTCTGCACCTGCTCTGCCAGCAGAGTGTCTCAAAAAGATGGGGTGACTTTCTGTGGGGCTGGTGCGTCAGGGCAGGTAGATATGTTAGCAGTGATAGGCTAGCACATGCTCACCTGAAACACCCGTGTCTCCTCCAATACGGTGACCTTTACATGAACGGAATAAGTATCGTCGTGTCAACAAGTTAATGGTTATATTGTGGAGGAGGAAACAAATATTTGATTCTGTTGCTCAACACAGAGCCCAGATGCCATGGTTCTTGCCTCTGCTCTCTGGTTCTAGCCCTCACCCTAACCCTGGACCTTCTGGGAGAAACTAACTTCCATAGTTTTTTTGTTTGTTTGCTTGAACGTTTTATACTTAAAAAAATTTTTTTTTAATTTTTTATTTTAAAGAAAAAGATACTCTGTTTTGGATTTTTCGATGACACAGTGTCTTCAGTGACTTAGTTGAGTGGACGTGCCAGTGGGCCTGGGCAGGAAGCATGGGTTTCTGCCCTAATGCAGCTGTACCCTTATCAGTGATCTTGGGAGCCTGGGGTGGGGGCGCCAGCTCACGTGGCCTCCGAGGCTCCTTCCTGCCTGCGTTTGGTGGTCTTTGTCCTGTGACTCTGTGATGCTCTTCAGAAATGTCACTGATTCCATTGCTTGAACCTATAGCTGGAGACATAGTGGCCCCGCTGTCACAAAGCGTGGAAAATGTCCATGCACTCCACTCGGCCGGGCACCCGGGCCACTTGCAGCTTGTGTGGCCGTGGACAGGTTATTCTCTTGGTGCCTGTAAAAGGATGTTTGGGGACTAACACTTTCAGTCATAGACCTGTGTGAAAGCTGCTCCCTCTTCCTCGTAGAGATGGTGTCTGTCCTCAAGGGTTTGTACTTCACCTCAGGAAGGGAAGGGGGAGGGGCCCAGGTAGGCCCCCAGTTAGGGACCCCTGGGCTAGAAGTGGTAACCCAGGCACTGACCTGAACCCCTTAGAGACAGTAACCCACTTCATCCTCACAACAGCCTGCAAGATAGGGACTGTGTTATCCCCGTTTCACAGACAGGAGACTGAGGCACAGAACTTGCCTCAAAGTGCCAGAGCCGGGAGTGGAACCCAGGCAGCCTGGCGCAGGCCTGTGCTCTGGGTTCATTCATATCTGCCGCATGGAGGCACCTCGTTTCTGAAGGGGGCCCAAGGGCATTCTGAGCAGATTGAGGGGCTGGAGCTCTCTGACCCTTGGGGGTCGAAGAGGAGCCTGGGCCACGTGTCTTCATGCCTTCTGGGTGGGGGATGTGGGGAAGGGCTGAAGGTGGAGTCTTGAGATGCACATGGGGGTGTGGGGGAGGAGCCAGAGGAACCAGCAGCAAGACCAGAAGTGTCAGACAAGCCCAGGGGAGGACAGTGTTGACTCAGAATAGAGGAGGACTTGGAGAGGGTGGTCAGCAAGCCCAGGTTCCCTGAGAGGGCAAGAGGGATGACAGGGAAAGGCCCCCCTGCCCTGGGTGGCAGACACTGGACGGGCCCTGGCTCAGGCAGTGGGGAGGGTGCAGGGGGAGAGGGTGAGGGGTGAAAGCAGGGCCGGGGTGGGACTCAGGCCTGTGGCTGAGCGCGCCCCCTCTGTAACAGTGGAAGCCCCAGGTTGGTGTGAGGATGGGGATAACCCAGCCTCCACATCGGGGAGCATTCTTGCACCCCTTTGCTGCCTGTGACTGTGTCAGTCTCGCTGGGTCAGAAGCCCTCTGTGGAGTCAGGCCAACCAGGCTTCGACCCCAGCCCACTGCCCACTGCAGGCCCATGGGGTCCCAGTCTGACGGCCACACGCATGGCAGTTGTGAAGCCCCCGGCGCTGTCCCCCGCCCCGCACTGCAGAGGCCTTGCGCTCTTCTCCCTGAGCAGCCTGTGTGGATTCCACTGGTCTTGCCCCGGAATCAAGGGTCCAGAAATACAGTCCTTGGATGTCGCCCGTATTCTCGAACCAGATGCACCACAGGCACGTCTGAGGGTCTCCCTGTGTCTGGGGATGGAAGCTGAAGCGTGTGCCACACATACAAACTGGTGTTTCCGGAGCCCCCAGGCAGCTCCATCCACGCCCCCCCCGCCCCCAGGATGCAGCAGCACTGCCACATCCTAGCCCGAGGACGTGCCTGCTCTGGGTCACTGTTGGGCACTCAGGTCACTCTGTCGATGTCTAGCACTGCTGGGGTGTCATCTATTTTGAATGTGGCCTTTTTTAGTTATCTGACCTTATAAAAGTAGAATTATACCCAGTAAAAGTGGTGATATTTATTTATCTCTAGGGTGGAAGGCATGGCTACGGGTACATGCCGTCCTCTGGGCGGCCGTGAGGTGAAAGCAGGTGCAGAGACATTTAGCCTCAGTTCAGGAGGTTGGGCCTTGAGAGGACTGAGCCCGAGGCCAGGGCACCTTGGGCCTTGGGGAGGGGGCTCGCTGTCAGCACTCTGGGGAGGGGGCAGCTCCTGCCCATGTTCCCTGTCAGGTGGGAAGCCCTGGGGGGGAAAGGCTTTGGGTGACAGAGTGGAGGAGGGGGGATGCTGGGCCCGGGGAGGGGTTTGCTGTGAGAGGTGGAGGGAGTTGGTCTGTCTGGCGCCAACACCCTCTGGGAGACAGCTGCCGTGCTACAGCTGCGGTGACCTCTGGGCTGTGCAGCCCTGATGGTAGCAAGCATCGCGGTCCTTCGTCCATGTCTCCCAGAAAGGTGGCCTGAGCCACGGGGTCACTGCCCCAGCTCCTCGTGGTCGTTGTTGGAAGGGAAATGGAATTGCGGATGCCCCAGAGCACTCGAGACGCCCCGGCCTCCACCGCTAAGACCTGGTGGGGTTGGCGACCCGGCCCAGGAAGAGCAGGCAGCCCGTGCGGTGCTCATACACAAGGAAAAGGAAGGGCCGGTCGACGCTGAAGCGGACCTGGGTGGACAATGGCATGAACCCCACAGTGGTCACGGCCGCGGCCTGCGTACCCTCCTCGTCCACCATGATGGTGCCTTGGTGCTTGAACTGTGTCAGGACAAAAGGGAAGCTATCAGATAGCGGTGGTCACTCACAGACGGGCAAGGGGGGGTAGTCTCGTGTTCTTCAGGGAAGGGACCAAGCGAGCGCAGGGGAGGCATGGACGTGGCTGGGCAGGATGGCCCTTGGGACTCGGTCCTCACGCATCAGCTGAGTGTGGTGTGAACAGTGCCACCTTGGCACTGTGCACCATGGCCACTCAGGGCTGCCCACAGCGCTCTGCGGGCAGGACCGTGGCCCTAGAACCCCCTGCTCATGCTCTGGAGCCTCTGCCATAGTAGGCCTGCTGGGCTGGGGTGCTCCCGGGCACCTGCCTTCTCTCTGGTATCAGCAGGGGCTCCAAGGGGGGCAGACCTGGGACGGGATGGGGATGGGCAGAGGACGGGCATTACCAGGTCGATGACAATCCTCTGGTCCGAGATCCCCGTCATATTGCTGTTCCTGTCGAACAGCGCTGTGACCCCCAGGGACCGCAGGGCCTCCACCAGGTTGTAGTCCTTTTCTAGCTTGAACTTGGGCAGCAGTACTTCCCGTGTCCTGGTCAGGGAAGAGAAGGGCTGGTTCTACTAACTGCAAGTTGCAGAGGAATCACGTTTCCCCTTAAACGTCCGTAAACACACACACCCGCCTCCAGTCCGTGTACCACAGAATTGACACAACACTTCTTAAAATGCATATCCTCGTCCTGCCAGTGGAGGATTTTGGAAAGACCATCCCATTGTAATCCCAGCACTCAGAATTGAGGCATGGTTACTGCTGTGCGGTCATGTCCTCGGTACTGTATGGTTTGTGTCCTACCAGCCAGGGGGCAGAGCTGTTACTGGCTCATGGCTCAGACATCTGACATCATTCTCTCACTTGGGTCCCTGCTTTCAGGCATTTGGTATTTTACTGTTTAAGGAGCTGAAGTGCAGGTCAGTGCACTTAAAAACAGAGTGCTTTCTGTACCAGCCAGTGCTAGCGTTCTCCATCCTTGACGGCGCTTGTGGGGCTAAGACGCCAGATGCGCCCCCTTCTCAGGAGCTTCCTTCCCTCTTGGTGCGCCAGGACCCCATACGTGAAGCAGCAAAGCGTAAAGACCGCCTGTTAGCGTCCGAGTGACAAGAACAGGCCTAACCACTGGGCCATCCTGGAGGAGGGGGGACAAGATCTGGGGGCCCTGAGCAGGGCCTGCTGGAGGGAGTGCAGGACTCTGGGCAGGAGGGCAGGGGAGAGCAGAGCAGCGTGTGGGCCAGGCTGGGCAGCGAGCGGGCTGCATCCTGTGCGTGGGGGTCCACAGAGAGTTCACAGGAAGAGGGAGGTGGGGATGCTGCCTGGTGGCTGGTGGCAGGTAGACGGAGCATGGGACGGCAGGCCGGTCAGGCCCCCGCTGGCTCAGGGTGAAGGTCGTGGGCAGTGAGGTTAGGAAGGAGGCTGGTACAGAACAGGTTTTAAGGAGAAAGTGACAGGGCTTGATGCCTGCCCAGCTGCCTGGGCAGACCTGCCCCTAAGAGCCTGCCTGTCCCTCAGTTGCATTTCCTTGTATCCTGGTCCTGAAAGGAGGCCCAGACCAGGTTCAGCTGTTAACTCGGGCCTGGCGGGATCCAGGAAGACAGGGAGGTGATGTGTGCGTCCTTCCTGCGCTGATCCAGCAGCGCAACCTGTGGTCCTGACTCTGAGATAGTAAGTGACGCCCTGAGGGGATTTGGAGCACCTCGAGGCTTCTCAAACTGGGTTGGGGGCTTGTCTTGGTTCTAGGCCCACAGCAAGTGACCCCAGGGGGTCAGGGCAAGTGTGTGGCAGAGCCGGGTCGCTCCTGCCCCCACATCACAGAGTACAGGTGCATTTCTCACCAACGCTCTCTGGTCTCCTCTCACCGAGCGTAAAGTTCGGGCTGAAGTCACAGCGGCCCATGGGGCACATGCCCCTTTCCCTAAAGTGACTGCAGCCCCAGCATCCTTGGGCCCCCAGTCCCCTGGCCCCAGAGGCACCTGTTTGTCATGCTCTTCTGCCATCTCTCCACCACTTGGGGCTTCAGCTGGGCCTCGAGGGTCTTCATCCCGGACAGCTTGTGCGGGACCACCACCAGCATGCTGATGCCCCCCATGTACTCCAGCCGCAGGACATCGCAGTCCAGCTCCTGGTCACTTGCCGCCAAGAAGGACCCCTTGGTCTGCATCATGGGGACCTTGACCACCTCTCGCTCATTCAGCCGGAAGTTGTGGTTGTGTGTCATTTCCGCTGGGAATTTGTTCACCCAGGACCCTGTGAGGTCAGCAGGAATGGGCTTTTGTTTAAATGCTCTGTTAGAGGGTTTGTTCAAGCAGACTGCATGGCCCACCCCCACCGTATGAACCCACAGGTCTGGTTTGGGCCAGGAGTTTAAGTTTCTCACTGGTTCCCAGGCGATACTGATGCTGCTGGTCTGGCCCGCCCGCCACACTGAGAATCACTGTTTTAGAGGCTTCTCGTAGGAAGCGGATGAGGGCAGATGGGGTGAATAGACTAGGTGAATGCTGGGTTAGATCCTGACATTAAATTAGTACATCACTTGCCTTGCCTGGGCCTCTGCGTGTCTCTCTGTAAGATGAGGGCCCTGAGCTCCCATCAGCTCTATGAGGACTGGCTGGATGCCTGGGGAGGCAGCACTGCCATTGCCACCTTCACTTTGGATTTCGGGGCAGCTTTGTGTGCCCGAGTGGGAACGTGTCTTTGTGGCTCTAAGATGCTAGTAACTGTAAGTGAGGGCTGCCCGCCCACTGGTGAGACTGGTCATGTGCCAGGCCTCCTCCAGCCCCTTCCTGTGCTACCTCGTCTCCTAGCAACCGTGAGGGACGGGGCTTTCACCACCCCCATCTCACAGATGAGCAAGCAGAGGGGAGAAGCCAAGTGACCTGTTTAAGGTTTCCAGCTGGTGGGTGGGGCACAGGGGGTCAGAAAAGCAGGAGGTTCCTGGGGGAGGCGTAACAGCAGTGGCCGCCCGCCTCTGGTCTGGGTCCAGGGCTGCTCAGCCCCGTGAGGCAGGCATCTAAGCAGCTCTCTGCGGGGGGCCACCCTGTGCATGGTGGGTGTGAGCGGTGTCCCTGGCCTCTCCCCTCCCCCAGATTGTGCCATTTGCCCTGGGGGAGACTCCCTTTCCCCTGGGCTCCAGCCACGGCTTTCCCAGGTTTGCTGCAGCCGCCCCGCCTCTCCCGGGTTCTCTCCTTCCTTTGCTCCTGAGGCCTAACCTCTGTCTTCACTGTGTTTTACAGAGTGTTCATAACATTTGAAATTAAAATCAAAGTAGTGACAGAGATTTGGGAGCTAGAGCTAAGAGTTACACATCCAGACTCTGTTGTGATATGCACCCGTGAGAGCTGGTGCTGCTGGCGTTTCATCTCTCTGACTCCCAGCCCTGATCCAGCAAGCCTTCCGGTGTGTGGGCAAGGATTCATGTGCCCTGCTGCCACGTTTGCCGTCTTCGTGACCCTGGTTCCCATGTTGGGACGTGTCCCTGCCTGCTCTGAATACTGACTGCGCTGAGGCAGAGGCTCTGGAAGTCGGGGTGCCCACAGGCTGGCAGGGCTGAGGGCTGAGGGCCTTGGTGCCACCCAGGGGTCTCCCACTCACTGTCAAAGTCACCCCTGAACACGGGAAATTGCTCTCAAGTGTCACTGGCAACATCAAACCCACTGAGCACGTAACAGTGGGACTTGCGAGGCCACACGGATAGGGGAGTGAGACCAGGGCTGACCTCCAGTTTTCATTCCCAAACCTGTCCCGCCAGCCAGGGATGAAAGGACATGTGTGTGTTCACTGAGCATGTCCCGTGTGCCTGTCACGGGCCTGTTGGAGCCTTGGCCTGGACCTGCCCACGGCGAGGCTGGCGTTGTGCCTGGCGTCGGGGGAGCCAGGGGTCTGGCTCAGCCTCTGAACCCTTCCTCCTGTCTTGGCTCCCTCCCCCTGCATTGCCCTTTGGCAGCATTCCGCACAGCCGCTGGGGGCCTCGGCTTGGGCACGGAGTGGTTGTCCCGGCCGGTGGGTGCTCTGGCCCCACTGCCCCTCAGCCACTTCCAGGAGAGAGGCTCCCTGGACCGCTGTAAACCGTGCTGGAGCTGACCAGCCAGGGAACGTGGCCTCCCGGGACTGACCTGGCCGGTGCCCACTAGTCCTTGGTGGCAGAGGGGAGAGTGGTTGCGTGTCACCGCACTAGTGTGCAGTGACCCCACTCCTCATGTCTGCCCTCGGCTTGCTGGGCAGGTGGAGGGCAGTAGAGGTTTCTCCTGGCTCAGGTCTCACCAGGGCTTTTTTTTTTTTTTTTTTTTTGCAGTACGCGGGCCTCTCACTGTTGCGGCCTCTCCCATTGCGGAGCACAGGCTCCGGACGCGCAGGCTCAGCGGCCATGGCTCACGGGCCCAGCCGCTCCGTGGCATGTGGGATCTTCCCGGATCGGGGCACGAACCCGTGTCCCCTGCATCGGCAGGCAGACTCTCAACCACTGCGCCACCAGGGAAGCCCAATCACCAGGGCATTTTAAAAGCGAGGCCTGGTATTTACAGACCCGTGTCCATTTATCTCTAGAGTCCCGGGGGGGGGGGGGGGTGGGGGTGTGTGTGTGGGGGGGTGTGTGTGTGTGCGTGCGCGCGCGCGCGCGCAGGTGTGGGTGGTTGGCGGTGGAGGAGGGGTCCTCCTTAGGAAGTGCCTCGGTGCTTGGTGCTGGCCTGGAACAGTTGCTCTAGACATAAGGGTTGATTTCCCCGCCCCCACCTGCCTAGAAAGGAGTGGGGGTGTGAATGTCAGTTACTCAGGGTGAACTTGTCTTCAGCCTTTTGTCCATTGGGAAGGGAAATGAAAAAGCTCAGATCCAGGTTGACCTGATGCTGGAAAGGTTTTTGCGTTATTCTGATCTAACAGAGGCTGGAGCTTGGCTCTGCCCCTTACTGCCATCTCCCCGGAGCAGCATTTTAATTCCCTGTCTGTAAAATGGAGACACTCATAACAGTGGCGGTCTCTCAAGGCTGTGGTGAGGCGTAAAGCGTAGGGTTTCTAAGTGTCAGCTGCCCTGTCACCTCATCAGGACCTTCCCTGTCCCTGTGAGCTGACCCCGTGTCTGGGTTTCCCAGGGGAATGGAGGTAGAGTCTGCAGTTCGGCCCACCTGTGAGCTGAGAGCGCCCGCGCGTCTGCCCTGAGAAATGTCGTCACCTCTTACCTTTAAAGTAGATGCAGTTCAGGAGCATCATCTGAGTCGCGGGGTCCACGTCCTCCAGCACGTCTCTTATGAGGCCCTTGGTGAGCCGCGAGATGTGCTGGTTGGTTTGGGAGATGAAGGCGGGATCAGAGAAGTCAGCCGCACGGACCTCGGCAAAGTAGTACTGTCGGACCTTGGCTCTGAAGTCGTCCAGGACTTGAACTTGCTTCTGAATGTACAGGTCGCTGACAGACCGCAGCGTGTACCCGAAATTCCTCCGGAAGAGGCGGTGGGTCAGCTTCCGGAACAGGTTGTGGACGGTGCCCAGCTCGTATGTGGTGCTGGCGTTGACGAAGTCGGTGAAGCGCAGGGCAGCATGTACCTGCTCGTGGGTGTCCCCCCGCAGGCCCAGGGAGAGCATGGCCATGGCTGTGGACACACCTACGGGCGCCAGGAAGACATTGTCTGAGGCACCAACCCGCTCCTTCAGTGCCCGGTAGAGGTCTAAGGCGAACTTGGCGTTGAGGAGGTTGAGCCGCTGGATGCGGCTCTTGCCCGGGAAGAGCTGGAGCATGCTGCCGGCGCCAGTCCCAGGGTCCACGGGCGAGACCGCGTCCACGACGTCGATGTAGTCGTCATCCTCCCCGAAGATCTTCTCCAGGTCCAGGTAGTCCTCGTCCTCTTCCCCGTCCACGATCCACTCGTTGGTGACTGTGTTCTCCTTGTGGAAGTCGGCAGGCAGGAGGGGTCTACTCAGGTTTCCACTCTTCAGCTGCCCCCACTGGGGGTCCGCAGACTCGGGGTCTCCCCCTCCGCTATCAAGCTGACCCCAAGGGCCGAGGTTCCCACACACGGATGCCAGGAGGAGGGACACCACGAGAGAGTGCAGCAGGTGCTGCATTCTGGCGGAGCTGGAGCTGGAGGGAGAGCAGGATGTGGTGAGGGCAGCCTGGCAGACTGCCCCCTCCCCGCCCCACACAGGCACACACACACCTCTGCAGGCCCCCGGCCACGACCCAGGAGGGGCCCCGGGCCCCATGGGTGCCAGTCTCTAACCATTTTAGGATCTGCTGAAGATAAAACAGACGCCTGACATTTTGTGTGGCTTCATGAACCTGCCTGGAGGACCCCTGGGCCCAGATCAGAACCCCTTGTTGAAAGTGTGCAAAACCATAGGGCTCAGGGGCCCCAGGGAGTTTCCTTTTCATTCATTCACTGAACTTTGTGTCCCTTCCTCAAATGACATACTGGGTGGGCCTTGGAGGCACACAGGTACCCCAGCTGGATGGGGGCCCATGTGCAGTAAAGCACGGCTCACAAGGACACTGCCAGGTGGGGGGCGGGGGGGCGCCAGGCAGACTGAGGCTCCTCCTCCTGTGCTAGCAGTTATTTGGGGTGGTTTAATCTGTGTGATTTGGACTGTGTCTGCAGTGCAGGGATCACCTGGGGGCCCAGTGGACATGGTGGGTGCCGGTCTTCCTGCAGCCATGGGGGATGAGGGTACAGCTCGCTGCAGGTGTACGTTTTCTCCTTGTGTCTGTCAGTCGGCTCCCACTGCTGTCAGGAGGGACTAGAGCTCTCCCACTGAAGTGTTTCTGGCTGGGGTTACAAATAGTCTCACCAGGTGTATAGGGTCTAGGTGAGGGTGCTGTCAGAAAGCTCTTACTGAAGGCCTGAGGGGCGCTCCCTCTATTTAAGTAAACAAGGCACGTTTTTAACAGATACTGTGGGATGAGCCATCTGTCTCCCATCCCTCCTTCTGTCACGTCAGTTTGGCTGCCAGACGGCTTTGTCCTTCTCTTGCTTCCTTCCTGGTTGTGAATTGCATCCTGGGAAATGAGCTATTATTCGATGCTTCTGTGTGTCCAGGACAGTGACAGCAGGTGTTTATACTGCTGCTCAGTCATGCAAGATCCCAGCATCCCTTCTAATCACCTCAGAAAGAGGAGAGTGTCTTGTCAGGTTTGTCATGTGTGTGACCATCTGGTACGTTTTTGAGGACCAGAATGTCTGCTTCCCCTCCAGGCCAGGTAAGAATCACTGGCTCCTGTTAAGTAAATATTGGGACTTGTTAGGCCTGAAGATGGTGTGCTGGCAATGGCAGTGACTCTCAGCGGAGCCTCTTCTGGGTGCCGGTGCTGGACCAGGGGCTTTGGTGACTCAGCTCCCCGCACAGAGCATTGTGCGTATCGGGGGTGCTGAGCCTGCCTGAGTGTGCCAGTGACTAGATTAGACCCTGGTTAGTGGAGCCCTTCCCTGTGTCCAGGGCTCTGCCCGTTTGGCCTGGAGTGCCAGCACCATTGTCCCTGCCCCAGTTCCCACCTCGGCTCTTCGCTGCAGCACTCTTAACACACTCAGCTTGCACACTCCTCTAATCACGACATTTTGGAGAGGGAAAGTCACATGGTTTCTGACTTAAAACTGTCTGTTGTCTTTTCCTGTTCCCTTCCCTCCCCCCAGCCCGTAGCCGAGGCTGCCACACACGTTGCCTGCACTCAGGACACAGTGTGTAATGTGTGTGGCTGCCGGCGGAACCGGGCCCAGGTTCTGGGTAGAATTGGGCGTGGGTATTGATGGCAAGACACTGAAAAAGTGAGAAAAGAAGAGGTTTTCTTGCTAGGCTACACTTGAAAGTATCCTTCTTAGGTTAAAATAAGCTTTAAGGGCTTCCCTGGTGGTGCAGTGGTTGAGAGTCCGCCTGCCGATGCAGGGGACATGGGTTCGTGCCCCGGTCCGGGAAGATCCCACGTGCCGCGGAGCGGCTGGGCCCGTGAGCCATGGCCGCTGAGCCTGCGCGTCCAGAGCCTGTGCTCCGCAACGGGAGAGGCCACAACAATGAGAGACCCGCGTACCGCAAAAAAAAAAAAAAAAAAAAGCTTTAAAAAACCCAACTTGAATAAACAAAAGTTCAGGAAAAGGAATCTGAGACCAGATAGGGAGGCAGAGGTTGAAAACATTCGTGTCTTTTTGCTCCTGTATTCAGATAGTACGTGTGGAAGCTTCTTGTACTTCTTCCTATTCCTGTATTACACGATGAAAAGCCCAAAACACTTTGCATTATGCTCTCATCAGAGGAAGCAAAAGGTATCTCATAATATATCTCATTTTATGTGGTAAAAAATTAGGTACCTGAAAGGTAAATCTTCCTGTTGTTTTGCCATTTAGTATCACAAGAGTTAAAGAAGATACTTTAAAATTATCACTAGGTTGTGTTTAAATCCAGATTACTGTCTTTGAAGAGAAGCAGTATTTTTTAAAGGGAAATCATTCAAAAGTTTGTTTTTATGGGCATTTCCTATGGCGCCTTCTCAGGCTGGCTGCGTGGAGCGGGGCTGGGCTTTGTGGTCCCTCGTTCCTCCTGGCTGCTGTCTCCCGGCCCAGACGGAGAGGGGGTAATGGAGCTGTGGACAGTCTTCAGGTTGAAATAACTTCAGGCTCACAAACGAGTTGAAAGCACAGCACAGAGAACACCCACCCTGTACCCGCGTCTCCAGACTCGCCAGGTCTCTCTACGTACGTGTGTGTGCACGTGTGTGACACACGTCATTTTTCTGAACCATTTGTGATGCCCCAGAACTAGGGTGCCCGCCCACAGCCCCCAGCACCCATTCCCAGTTCAGGTCCTTAACCTAGCGCAGTCCCTCCTCCCCGGTTGGCTGACAGTCCCACTAGCGTAACTGACAGAATGTTATCATAGGCAGCTTAATAAAACCTCTTACCCTTTCTAAGATGGTGTAGAGAGCGTTTGAATGTAGTTGGATAGGGAAGCAAACCAGTTACCCATCTCTAACCACCTCAAATAATAATTCATAATCGGCAGAAACGTTAGAAACCTACTCACCTCTGTGCTGCTGAGAACTGGCTTTGCAGGGGCAGAATCGGCCAAAGTCACCAGCAGGCTTCAGTGTGACCTTTGGTGCCGGACTGCTGTCGTGTTTTCCAAAGTAAATACATCCCAGATCAAACACCGCTCAACTAGCTTTGTCAGCACAAAGCCCTCGTTGTGTCTTTAGTCACTGCCGAGTGGCTTGTGACTCCCAGTGTTTGGAGGCCTGACCGTCTCTGTGTGGATAAGCTTACAGGAGCAGCCAGGACACTCTGTGGCCCAGGGCTTGGTTGCGTCGGGGGCGGCGGCTCTGATGCTCCCCTGGACATGGGAGGGCCCCTCTCTTGTCTTCCAGCTCCGAGTTCTTCCTCTAAGTGATCACAGCTCCCTACCTCATCCTGGGCTCTGGGGTGACGTGCCTGCTAGGCAAGGTGTCCCCACCCTCCTGTGAGCTGTCCCTCCATGGACAGTGGAGGGGAGGGTGCAGGTAGAGACTCAGAGCACAAGGAGACCCTGGCCCGGGCCTGTCTGCCATCTGCAGGACATGCAGCCCCGCTTTGCTGTCCGTTGTGGGATAGCCAGGGCCGTACTGTGGTGCTTCCCATGCTCACATCCACTCAGGTGTTCACAGAGGGCCGTGGCACCGTGATCATTTCTATTTTTAGTTTGTGGTGGTTTTTTGGGGGGTTTTTTTGGTCACGCCGCACTATTTGCAGGATCTTAGTTCCCTGACCAGGAATCGAACCTGGGCCCTGGCAGGAGGCAAACCCTGGCCAGCACCTAGCCCATTCTTGGCACTCATAGATCATAAGCATTTGGACCGCTGAGCACCCCTCGCTGCAGGTTAGTTAGCGCTGTGTGGGGGCTCGACCTCTGCTGGGGACTCTGGAGGGTCCACCTGTCCACCAGGCGTTGTGCACACGTAACCATTTTCCATACCCAAGGCGCCTTCCCCTGCCACGCACTGGGTGGGACACCATGGGGACAGGGACGCAGGGACTCCAGCCTCACCCCTGCCCCCGAGCACTCTGCTTTTACCTGCTTCACGCCCTGTGGTTCTGCCCAAGGTCACTGCCCCGCCCGCCATGGTTCCGGCCCTTGGGCCTGGTGCTCCTGTGGCCAGGCGGCTGCTCCCTGTTTCCTGCCCGCCTGTGAACGCCAAGCGCCCCATCCCTGGGTCCCCAGGAACTCTGGGATGCTGCTTGCCTGCCTCCCGACGAGGCCAAAGGGCTTTTCCCTCCCAGTGCAGAGCCCGCCCTGCATACAAGAGGCTCAGGAGCGTTTCTGGGTGAGCTCTCTGAGGGCTGCTGGTTACTGTGCCCTGTGCCTTCTCCTGCCCAGTCTGACTGACCTGTTCTCTGAGAAGAAGCCTGGAGAATGGATCTCGAGCTTACGCCTGTAGGTGTCAGGTTCATATGCAGGTAACCACCTTCTCTCCCTCTCTCCTCGGCCCATCAGCTCACCCGGCGGTTGCTGCCCATCAAAGAAGCAAAGCCGCGGTTGCAGAAGCTCTTCCGGGATTTCTGGCTCTATTCTGTGCTGATGGGATTTGCCGTGGAGGGGTCAGGTAGGGGACGTTTGCTGCCCCAGGGAGGACAGTGCAGAGTAAGGACCAAGATGTGAAAGGGCCCGACCTAATGGTGCCTGTGCCCACGCACAAGACAGGCCCAGTGCGGCTGCCGCCTCCTCAGGGAACACTTCCTGAAGTCGTTTAGGGTTCTGGGAACACCACATACCTTAGGGAAACCTGCCCCCATTAGGAAACACACTCGTTTCTATGCCACATTTTTGGGACAGTGGCTCAACCAGAGGACCCACAACTCCAGAAGCTCAGCGTGGGCCCCGCCAGAGCTCTTCTCGAGCCAGGAGGCACCTCAGCCCATGCTCTCTTGCAGGACTCTGGCCAGAAGAGTGGTACGAGGGCGTCTGTGAAATAGCCACCAAGTCCCCCCTGCTCACCTTTCCCAGCAAAGAGCCCCTGCGGTCTGTCCTCCAGTACAACTCAGCCATGAAGAACGACACAGTCACCCCCGTAAGGATGCCTGCCTGCCAAAGACGGGTGGTACCGGGCAGGGTTTCGGGAAGCCCTCTGGGACAGTGAGGGCCAGTCTTGCATGTCTGGTTCACGGGCACGGCCCCGGGGTTTGCATCTGGGGGAGCAGCCACGCCCACCCGTGCCCAAGCAGTCCTGGCATTTGTCCCTAGGCCGAGCTGAGCGAGCTCCGTAGCACCATCATCAACCTTCTGGACCCGGCCCCCGAGGTGTCCGCCCTCATCAACAAGCTGGACTTCGCCATGTCCACCTACCTTCTGTCCGTTTACCGGCTGGAATACATGAGGTACGTGAGCTTCGCCACCCGTACCCCCGCTTGAGCTGGTTTTACGTTTGTGTTCCTTCCAGGCTTGGGCTTTTCTCAGTTCCTCCTAACAAGTAAGCTGTCTTAGAAAAACCACCCCCAACCCCTTCTGCTCTTCTCCTGTGCTTATCCTTCCTGATCACTGGATGCCACGTGTAGTAACACACCAGGGGTCTGACGCCGGTGCCACCTCCCCAAGGGAACAGGTTCTGAGCTGTCACCAGAGCTGCCACCAGCTCAGTGCACTTGACGGATCGGAGCCTCTGCCGGGAACCAGCCCTCTCTGAGACGCTCTAGGGCACCCCCCAGGCTGGTTCCAGGACCACATTGGAGCACAGACAGCAAACGGGAAGTGGGGGGCTGCTCCAAACAGTCCTCTGGGGCACCTGACACTCAGGACACCTCTGCAACCACAGGGAGCTGACAGCTAGAAGCACTAACATGGATGGAGCACCGGCCCCACAGGCGCTGCACGAGTTCCATGCGCTGACAGGCCCCCCCCAGCAAGCCCACAAGGTGGGCACTGTACACCCCACTTCACAGGAGGGAACCAGGGCCCAGGTGCTCAAAGAAGCTGCCCAAGGTCACGGTCCCTGATTTGGCCTGAGACCGACATCGTCTCCAGGGCAGTGCCTGCTGCCTCCCTGTAAAGGGAGACTGGAAGCAGCAGCAGGACGTCCAGAGCCCAGCCGCCCACCCTGTGGACCCGCTGTGGGGGGCTGCAGGAGGACATTTGTTTAGGTCACAAGACAGGTGCAGTTAGATACAGAATAAGGTCTTTCTCAAACCACTTAAAACAGAAAGTATTGATTCTTAAAGCGAGGGATGTTTGGACAACGCCACTATTTTATTTAACCTTTATTTGGTGCCACGAGACCCTCCGGTAGATTGGATCTTGCTTGGAAGCTTGACATATAAACCAGATGGAAGCTGTTTTGGGTGAATGGGAGTGAGTCCTCCCACCCTCAGTCCCCACCTCCCGGCAGTCCCAGAGTCCCCACAGCCAAGGGAGCTTTGACTTTTCTTTTTTCATTACACATTTTTTTTCAGTTGTATAAGTAATAGGAGAACATTATACAAAACCATGGAAATAGTTGAGGGAAGAAACCCACTCTGCTTACTAGCACCATCCGTAGTGGTTAGTATCGTTCCTTCTGGTCTTTTTTTTTACAAAGAATATATTGTCACAGAAAAACGAAGCCAAACCAAAACAGCAAAAGCCTGGGTCTAATCCTGGCACCTGTAGCTCCAGGAGAGGTCTCTGGGCCCCCTCGGCCTCCAGCACCTGACGGCAGTGCTGTGGGCTGTGTCCACTCCCCGGTGTGCCCCATGGTGACCCAGGGCTCTCGGGCAGGCTCTCTAGTTGGCGGGCGGTTCTGAGAGCCCAGCTCTTAGCCGAGGCTGCCTGCCAGGTCCCCTGGACTCCTGTCAGCACCGAGAAGCAGCCCTGAAGCCTTTAGTCCAGAGCCTGGCTTAGATCCCAGCCACCAGTTATCAGGAGAGCTTTCAGACAACAGCACACATTCTCGCCATGTGCACGAGGGCGCTGGAGAGTGTCTGCGCTTGAGCCCCCGGCGCCCGTGGAGCCTTAATCTGAGAGGGTGGGTGCAGACGTCATCCACGCGCACTGCTGAGCTCGCGCCTGGCCGTCTCAGTGGAGCCCCAGATGCCAAGCGCCCTGTACCGGTGCCCTGGTTCAAGCACATGCCTTCCTTTCCTTTCTCTTCCTTTTTTCCTCAAGGGTAGGGATATTGTTTTACATGTAAAAATGTCCATGGTGCGTAAAACGGCATAGAGAAGAAAAGCATTGGATGGTAGAAAAGATGCTAAGGAGGAGAAATGCATGTCTCCGTTTGCTGGCCCTGAGTCCAGAGAGGCCCCTGTTGCCGTCTCTTATCTTTCCCTTCTAGAAATCAGCCACGTGCTCATGCGTGTATCCCACCCGCACACAGCGGGATGTGGGATCATACCTGTTCACACCTGTCCCGCTGCACCTCGCCCTTTCCTCCCAGCCGGAAGTCTCGAATATTCTGTAGCAGCACAGAGAGCTGCCTCTCATTTTGGTGGCTGCCTGATGCGCTGTTGGCTGATGGACATACAGCCGGTGCTGTTAGGACCTTGTGCATGTGACCCTTAAAACCCCTGGCTCGCAGGGGGTGGCTGCCCTCACAGCCTCATCCGCCCGGGCAGCATTCCATTTGCTGGGGGATCAGAGCTTCAGACTCACTCTGAGCTGTTCCCTGTAGGGTCCTGCGCTCGACAGATCCTGACCGCTTCCAGGTAATGTTCTGCTACTTTGAGGATAAAGCTATTCAGAAAGACAAGTCTGGTAAGTTGACTCCTGCGGGCTTCTCGTAATGAACTGAGATTTAATAGTGTAAAAAAGAATACTGCATCCTGTTTTCTGTCTGTGTCAAGAAAATAGTTTCATGAGGCTATGTACTACATTGGAAAGATCAGTATAAAACATTTGACTCTAAAACATATACATCTTTCTGGCTCTGCCTCTGCTGCCAGGGGCCCGAGAGTAGAAGCACTGATGCTCAGATGTGCTCCAGCCCCCAGGTTTCAGTCCCAGACACCGTCCTCTGCTGAGGGACCCTGGGCTCCTCGGACGGTCTGGATGGACCTGGGGCATCTTGTGGCCAGGGAGCAGTAGTGCTTCTCAGGTGTCTGAGGCAGGCTGAGAGGACTCAGAATCAGGCTGCAGGGGCTCCCAACTAACAGATTATCAGAATTCGAGCATGGATACAGTATTTCTATTATCTTGCTTAAAAGAAGGGCAAATATACTAGGACGTATATATCCAAATACATTAGGAGATTACATGTATATTATATATGATTATATATACGATATCATAATTTTGTTTCTCCCACTAAAGTGTTTGTGAAGTAGGGACGTGTAGTTGTTTTTCTCATGCAATCAAGAAAGAGGGAGCAGCAAGAAAGAGCCGCATGGTCCAGGGAGAGGCGGGGCACCTGTGTAAGGTCACACCTGGTCTCAGAGTGACCAGGTAGGAAGGGCGCCCAACAGGTGATGGGCAGAGACGTCCTGCGAGCAGCCTGTTAGAGGCACTCATTAGTGGAGAGCAGAGAGCTCGCTGGGGGGCATCCTGCTTCTTGCCATGGGGGCTCCACGCCTCAGCAGGCCTGCTGCCCACAAGGAGACCCCACTTGCTACCACATGTTTCCAGCAGGCCAGGACCTGTGGGCCACATCTGATTTAAGACTGCATCCTTCTTTTCCGGGAAAGTTTCAGGATACAAAAGTCTGTGTGAAACATGAGGACTCACAAGTCCCAGGATGCAGTGTCCTCAGACCCTGGGCTCACAGGGCCTCGGCGTGACCAGTCCCAACAGGACGATACTCCCAGGGAGACAGAAACAGAATTAACCTCTCTAGGGTATCAAAATGTGCCCATCACCAAAACCCTACTGAGGTGAACCTAAGATAAGAATAGGAATTAAAACATGAAGAGACATTAAAATTGAGGCAGCAAAGAAAAAAAATTAAATGCATGGTACTGGCACTGTTTACCAGTTTTAGTATAAGGACACGATAAATTGTAGCATCATTGTGTTGGTCTATGTGCTGATTTATAAGGTATTTAAAAATTGAAGAGACTGAAATATTAGACCTGTGCTTTAATTAAATGCTTAGAAGAATATGATGGAGTTTATAAATGTGTTTAAATATTTGATGAAATTTAGTATGCTCAATCCACAGATTTTTTAATGTATCTCATGTAATAATGCATTTATTCAGTAAATGGTATTAGCAGTCATTTCAAGTATTCTCAGAATAAAAGTTTTTAAGAAACTAAACTAGTTCCTAAAATGTTAGGAAGAAATTATTCATGAAGTTATGTTATAGAATGTTTTTAAACAAATATTGTTTTTATTGATTGATTGCAAAAAGAATTAGCTTTTCAGATTCAATGAACAGTGTTTTACTATTCTTAAAGTCATTTTTTTGAATCATGCTTTCTGAAATTTCCTGGAGTCAGTGGACACATACCTGCAGATATTCCCCAGTCTGAACAGACTATTCAATGGATTTACTCTTTTTTACACATTCTTCTAATTTACTCTCCAAGTGCCCTTGGATGGATGATTTTTTTTTTTTTTTTACAAGCATCCTTGATTTGCTAGATCCACAAGGTCTGGTTGATTAACAGTGTGGGAAAATGTTTTGAGGAATGCTGAGTAACGATTCTAAGGTTAATAAATTTGGCATTGATACAGTTAGTAGTGAGGAGTCTTAGGACTTCCCTGGTGGCACAGTGGATAGGACTCTGAGCTCCCAGGGGGGAGGGGTTCGATGCAGGGGGCCCAGGTTCGACCCCTGGTCAGGGAACTAGATCCTGCATGCATGCCACAACTAAGAGTTTGCATGGCGCAACTAAGGAGCCTGCCTGCCGTAACTAAGGAGCCTGTGAGCCACAACTAAGGAGCCCAACTGCTGCAACTAAGACCCGGCGCAACCAAATAAATAAATAAAAATGAATAAATTAAACAAAAAAAAAAGTAGTGAGGAGTCCTTCCCACGCCAGCACCATCAGCACACTGACGACTTGAGCAGCTTGTTCTTGCTAATGGAGAACTAACTCCCAGGTGTCTCGGGTACCATTTTTTTCTTCTGTTGAAAAATCAGTCCTTGGAGAAATCTTTTGAGAAATCACCTCAGGGACTGTGAGGTGCTGCTCCATGTGACCCTGCACAACAGTCCAGAGGTTGGTTTGACTCCTGTGGGGCTGGCGAGGAAGGACAGTGGGGGGCCCGGAAGCCCCCTCCGCTGGCAGCACAGGGATGGCCACCAACCGTCCTAGCTACACAAGGTGTGTCGTGGAGGAAATGTTGGTGTTTTCTCACAGTTCTCTCGCCAACACTGTGGTTCTCCCGCTGTTGTTTTTAAAACTCTGCTCTACCCCATCAGCACTGACCACACCCAGTGCCCAGATCTTGGTCTCAGAACACTGTTCTCCAGTAGAAGGAACCCGGGCTTCGTGGAGGAATGGTGGCTCTAGGGAGAGCTGGGGCAGGGAGAGTATAGGCTGAGCCCAGGGCACCTTGCAGGGCCAGAAAGTAAGGTCATGCCGAAACAAGAGGAAAAAGAGAGAAGGAGAAGGTGGGGAGGTGTGTTGCAGGGCCCAGGAGCCGACCAGAGGGAGCAGCCACACAAATGATGAGCATTCGTGAGTCCCTACTGACTAGACGGTTGAATAAATAAAACACGGGGAGGGACACGCCTTCAGGTGGAATTCCAGTTGCTAAAAGGAGAAAGAATGCGGAAGATAGAAAATGTCGACAAGAACCAGAGGGACAGCTGCCACAGAACACACTGATAGATGGTTTCCAGGAGAAGTGGGGGGCTCTGCGCAGCTTGACGTGTACAGGTTCTCGGGAGCCGCTGCCCCCCACTCCCTGCCCCAGAGTGAGGGCTGGACCTGGGGACTCGCATCTGAGGGTAGAGGGAGCATTCAGGGCCAGCCCACCAGTGACGGGGGCACCGACTTCACCCTACCCCCATAAGATGCGACCAGGAGGGCATTTCATCTAAAATCCCATGAGCTTGGTCCAGGCATGAGCGATCATCACACACACCTTGACTGAAGGACACCCTACAAGATGCCTGTGCCCTTTAGAAGTGGGGAGGACAGAAAGACTGGAAAGCCTAAGGAATCAGCACAGACTACTGGGCTCAGAGCCGTGCTGAGCGGATGCCAAGGGGTGCCCTGGACTGGGTCCCGGGACAGAAAGGGGGCCATGGGGGGAAATGCAAGTAAAGCTGAGAGTTTGGGGGACAGTGTTGTATCAGCGATAGATGAGACGGTGGTCCCCTCTTTTGATGCCCTGCCCTCCTGTTGCAGGGATGATGCAGTGCGTGATCGCCGTTGCCGACAAGGTGTTTGATGCCTTCCTGAACATGATGGCAGATAAAGTAAGCCTTGTTGGAGCGCCAGTGCACGCCTGCCGGGGCTGTGCAGGACCTGCAACCTGTCTCTTCTGAATCCAGGCCAAGACCAAGGAGAACGAGGAGGAGCTGGAGCGCCATGCGCAGTTCTTGCTGGTGAACTTCAACCACATCCACAAGCGCATCCGGAGAGTGGCCGACAAGTACCTGTCCGGGCTGGTGGACAAGTGAGCTCGGTTTCCTTCTGGTGCTGTGCGTGTGTTCACGTGTGTGCATGTGTGTGTGCGTATGTTTGTGTGCACACGTCTAGATTTGGGATGCAGGGAAGGGTCGACCTTGCATCATCAGTACAGAGAAAAGTGGACTCAGAGTCACAGCTCTCAAAGGGCGGGGCAGCCCCCACAGGATGTTGGCAAGTGAGGAGTCAGTGGCCTAACCCTCCCCTGTTCAGAGTGGTCGGTGCTACTTAGAGCACATCTCCTGACCGGGTGTCATGTCCCTGTTCTTGGGATCCCACCCTCCCTGCTGCAGGGCTCTGGGCTCACTCTGGGATGCTCACAGCCATCCTAAGTGCCGTCTCCCAGCGCAGGGCCCGGCCAAAGGACCTGGTGGAATTAGTTTCTCCCAGGCCCTTAGGAGGAGGGGAGCTCACTCTGAGCTGGTTCCACCCTGGGCTTTCCTTGCTGTATTGAGAGGCACGGCAGGCTCATGGAACGGGTCCTCCCAGGTGAGGGCCCTCATGGTGGGCTGGGCCAGCCTCAGTGCACTGCCATGCCAGGCCTGCCTGCAGCTCCCGCAGGCATCCCCGGAGCCTGCAGCAGACACCATGTGCCCATCCAGGTAGGGCCGGAGGGTGTGTCTGAGCCAGGCCACCGAGCCTGCAGCCTGCTTCCCTTGGCCCAGGGCCACCTGCTTTGAGCAGCGGGGGGGTTTCAGTGGTAAACACTGCAGTGCTACACAAGCCACAGTTGTGGAACTGCGGAAACGGCAGGCCAGCTGTAAGTTACATGCAAATTTTCTATTGTGTGGAGGGTTGGCACCCCCAGCCCCCCATTGTTCGAGGGTCACCTGTCCTGCCATGTTCCACGTGAGGGTACAGTGGCCTTGGTTGAAAACAGGGAGGATCCCTGTGGGAAGCAGGGAGTGGTCTGGCCAGCGCATAACCAAGATGATGGGGCTGGGGGGGGGGCCGGGGCTGGGCAGCAGGAGGGGTGAGGGGCCTTAAGGAGCACAGCTCCTTGGACAGGTGGCTTCTGGGCCCTGAGAGGTGGCTCTGGGTGCAGATTCCCCCACTTGCTCTGGAGCGGGACGGTGCTGAAGACCATGCTGGACATCCTGCAGACCCTGTCGCTGTCACTGAACGCCGTGAGTACCCCGCCCACCCTTCTGAACCTAGCTCATGCCACAAGCCGTGAATGGGGGGTTGGGGGGCTCCCATCACAGACGGGAGGGGTGGGGGAAGGGAGGGAGGTGCTGCGCAGGGACCTGCTTTGGAAGAGGGACCTGTGTGCTTTCAGGATATTCACAAGGACCAGCCTTACTACGACATTCCGGACGCCCCCTATCGCATTACCGTTCCCGACACCTGCGAAGCGCGAGAGGTGGGCCGGGGGTTCGAACTTCAACACAAGGCTCTGGGGCACATGGTCCAGCCCTGTGTTCACTAAGCTCTGACAGCCCGGCGCACCCTCTTCCAGAGCATCGTCAAGGACTTCGCTGCGCGCTGTGCGATGATCCTGCAGGAGGCCATGAAGTGGGCGCCCACAGTCACCAAGTCTCACCTACAGGTACTTTCTTGAAATCACCAAAGAGCAAGGCTGTAGCCAGACAGCGTGCTGGAAATACCGACAGCACTGGTGTGAACTAGCAGACCAGGAACACTGGTCCAGGCCCAGGGTAATGGGACACCCTGTGGGGTGAGCATGCTGGTCAGGGGCCAGGAGGGCAGGTGCGGTGGGACTGGGGGGCAGGCCCAGGGGAGCTGACCGCTTATGGTAGGCAGGACTAGGGGTGCATGTGGGCTGGGTGAGAGTGGCATGGCCAGGAGCCCGGCAGGCCAGCAGGAACAGTGGCTGGCTCTGGCTCTGGCTCCGGTCCCAAGGGAGTGGTAGCCCGAGCGGAGCCATCTCTTCAGTGGATCAGGGCGGGCGACGCCAGCCTTAGAGCCAGGGTTCCCTCCCCCGCCTCACACGTGCTGCACAAGGCTTGCTTTTACCTTTAAAATAACACGGTGCTTCCCCGTCTCAGGAATACCTGAACAAACACCAGAACTGGGTGTCGGGGCTGTCGCAGCACACGGGGCTGGCCATGGCCACCGAGAGCATCCTTCAGTTTGCCAGCTACAACAAGCAGAACACCACCCTTGGGGTACGTGTGCCTCTGGGGAGCAGGGTCTCCAGCCGTGGGAGCCCTGCCCCCATATGGGGAGCTTGCGGTGTCTGTGGCAGACCCCAGGCTCGGGGGAGCTGTTCACCATGTTTCTGACGGAGCTCTAAGGTTGATCCTTTATCAGGATCAGGTCCATGACGGACAAAGTTTCCTGCTGGACACGGTCAGCACGTTTTATGGTCACGCTGGCCTGGCCATCCATTGGACCGAGCTGCACCCCACGTCCGTGGCTTCGTCTCGTTCTGCTCGAGGTTCATTTAGGGGCAGCACGTGCACTGAGGAGTTCCCTCTGAACCAGATCAGAGACTCGCCTCAAAGCTGGTGGTTGGCAGCAGTGGCCTGTCCGGCAGTGGTGCGATTTGGCGTCTCCCAACCCTGGGGCCCAGTGCAGGGCCTCTGCGGTCCGTGGGAGCCCAGGTGGCCACATGCACCTCTATGCTGCCCGCTCTGGGGTCAGGGGAGGCCAGGCGCCCAGGTGGGAAGGAAGCCGCCCCTTAGGCAGGTTGAGGATGCGGGCAGAGGCCAGCAGGGCTCGGTCCTGGTCCAAGGTGATGTTGCCTAAAAGATTTCGGGATTTTTCCACAGAAAAGTAGATTTAGGTTAGGTTTTTCCCTTTCCTGTTGCTCAGGAGGGAAGGACCGTTTTTATCTTGTGTTTTGATTGCTGGTTGTTGGGAGACCCCGGCCCTAGAGCCCCTGCCCTGCAGAAGGTGCAGCCTGTGGCCTGGCTGACCTCTCCGCCCAGAGGGGAGTGGGCTGGGGGTTGATTTGGGCACAGGAGCGGGGTCAGAGAGATGCAAGGGAGGGTCTGGCAGCTCTCAGTCCCTCAGGACTGTGCTCAGCCTGGCGAGAGGACCCCGTGTCCCCACTTCCTGGGGAGCAGGCCGAGGTCAGGGACAGTGAGTGGCAGAGCCAGTTTCCCACACATGCCTGCTCCAGGCCACTGTCTCCAAAAAATGTAATGCACTCTCAGGTCACCTTTTTAAAAATGAACCAGCTTAAAATTTTTATGAGAAAACCGTGTATTTTTTGTTTGTGGTTCAGTTTTACTGTTTATATCCTTTCCCCTGACCTTCTTTCCCCCCACCCCTACCACCCCAAAATAAAAAGTTGCCCAAAACCTCAGCATCTGAGGGTTGGTTGTCTCCAGTAGTGTCCGTGTATGATGACTGGCTGTGCTGGTGTGTAGGGAACAGAGCTGAAGGGACAGTGTGAGGTGGCCCTGGGGACACTGGGCAGGTCCAGCTGCAGGAGGGGCCTGGAGGGGTGGGCAGACTGGAGAGGCGAGGCCAAGGCAGGGGAAGTGGGGGCCGTGTGAGCCGAGGTCCCTTCCAAGTGTGGGCAGCCACACCAGTGGGGGTGAAGTAGCTGGTCATGGAGCAAAGCTGTAGTCCCAGCTGCCTTCCGGAGATGTTTCAGAGTAAAATGTTTAAAACTCTGTTTTCCATGCGACCTGGCAGACCCCAGAGCGTGTTTAGAGGTGTTTCATTTTATTCACTTGCCATTGCTGGAGATTTTAATAACCCGGGTCTGAGCATGACAGCCTCACTGCACTGGGCTTTGGCCACGAGGGTGTGCAGTCACTGTCCCGTCTCTGCAGGCGACTCAGCTCACGGAGCGGCCAGCCTGCGTGAAGAAGGACTACTCCAACTTCATGGCATCCCTCAACCTGCGCAACCGCTACGCAGGCGAGGTAGCCGCCCGCCGGGTCGGGGCCCTCTAGCGTCCTCTCCTTCCTGGTGGGGGCGGGAGGTCTGTCTTGGGGGGAAGGTTTGGTTCTTGGAAGGAGTGGGAGCTCCTCTCTAGTCAAGTCTTGTGAATAAGAGAGCAACACCTTTCTTGGGAAAAAAAGTAATGTCCGACTCAAGAAGCGCGCGGCTGATCTTGTTCAGCCCACGTGCAGGCAGCTCTGCTGTAGCTCAGTGTTGGATTCAGACATCAGGGCCGGGTCCCCACCCTCGGGGACTGTCCAGAATGGTGGGAGCAGCACTTGTTTCTAGAGGAGGAGTTCCGGGGCACCATGTGCGGTGGCGGCAGCACCCAGACGAGCCTGTCACTCCGCGTGGGCAACGAAGCCCCGTGGTCTGGGTGGCCAGGCCACATGTGCCTCCGCTGACCTTCCACAGGTGTATGGGATGATCCGCTTCTCAGACGCCACAGGCCAGACGTCTGACCTGAACAAAATGATGGTCCAGGAGCTGAAGGCAGCGTTGGGCGCGGGTGACCCTCAGCACTACACAGAGGCCATGTTCAAGCTGACGGCCATGCTCATCAGCAGCAAAGGTACCGCCCAGGCCCGGGCCACCTTGCTGTCCCAGGGAGCGAGTCCTGGCCACGCAGAGAGCCGGCGCTCCCCCGGGAGATCCCTGCGGCGTCACGCACGGGACTGGGGTGGGGCTGTAATTAAAAGGCCAGCGCTGTTCCGGCTGGTGCCAATTGTCCTGCTGACCCAGGGAGGCTGTGGGTCGACCTGTTGGGGCCTCTGAACAGCATGCATTTGGTTCCAGACTGTGACCCGCAGCTCCTCCATCACCTGTGCTGGGGTCCCCTCCAGATGTTCAACGAGCACGGCATGGAGACGGCCCTGGCCTGCTGGGAGTGGCTGCTGGCTGGCAAGAATGGAGTGGAAGTGCCGGTAAGATGCCGGCTGCAGGCGGCTGCGGGGTGAGAGGTGGAGAATCAGTCCTGGCCCCTTGGATGACAAGCGTGGAGACCCCGGGAAAGCCCCTCACCCTACAGGGCCTCATATGTAAGCAAGACTGTGATATTAAAGCCTGCCCACAGGACTGTCACTGGGACCAGAGGGAGTGTGTTAAAGGACCCAGTGGTGCTTGAAGCTGTTATTTTTCCAAAGCTCGGCAGGGGGAGCCATTTCTCCACAAGTGGACACTTGTGTTTATCCACAGTGACCCGCGTCCTACCTGCTGACTCTGGGACAGCAGCCCTCCTGCTGGAGGGGGCCCACGGGGAGGGTCTACACACCCTTTCAGCTGATGGGATGAACACCTAAGAACAGATTTATTTTTCAAAGATCCCATTAATTTTCACAGTAATGGGATTTGACATGTTTTTTCTGAGTTTCTTAAGATAATGAGATAAGTGGTCAGAAGGAGTGTTCTGTGTTTTTTGCCCCTGAGGGTCAGCTGGATAACTTCCAAGGATGGAACTGGAGTGTTCCAGGCATGGAGGTGGCCGGCCGTAGTCGTACCTCCTCACGGAGTTTGTGTCCAGCTCACGGTGGCGGGCGTCTGTGGAGGGGCCAAGTTGGGTGTGTGGGGAGCAGAGACACTGGCCCCTGCCCCTCAGGAGGGAAGTCGGTTGGGTCTGGGCTCTCGCCTAGCTGGCTGTGCTGTCTTCAGGGTTCCAGGGCAGGTCCCTGCCTGTGTGTCGAGGGTGATGGCAAGGGGTCTGCGCAGAGTCTTTGTGAGGATGAGCTGACCTGGCCCACCTCACGGCAGCTGTTGTCACTGCAGGGCAGGGGCTCTTCAGTCACAGCTACGTCCCGCTCGGTCAGGACCCGTGCATGTATTGTCTTCATCTGTGTTCACTGCTGTGTGATACACGCCTTGTAACAGTGCTGTCTGTTGTCAAATGCTTTTCCTAAGCCTTATGGGTGTATCCAGACAGTTTCCCGTCCTCACTTACCTCTGTAAGCCTGGGTCTGTAGTTCTCCTCAGCGCTTCCTGGGCTGCAGGTGGCGGGAGTGAACTTGCAGCCTAGTTCACCTTCATCTCGTGCTTCGGCTGTTCTTCCTGGGTCTGTGATCCTAAGTTGCCTTTGGCATGTTACACACATCTATCATCTGTTGGCTTGCATTGTTCCTGGGGAGAAATCCACAAATTATCATCCTTTCTCAGTATGTGCTATTGTTTGTTTTTCCTTTTAGCTATTCTTAGGGTTTTTTTATCTTTGATTTTTAATAGTTTGACTCTGTTGTGCTTGGATGTGGTTTTCTGTGTATTTTATGTTGGGATTCCTTGAGCTTCCTAAATCTAGAGATGTCAGGTTTTTCATCAGACTTGGAAAGTTTCAGGCCAGTATTTCATTAAATATATTTTTTACCTCGTTCACCCCTTCTCACTTGGGCTCCAGGGACGCCTGTGGTGCAGATGTTGTGACGATGGCAGTGTCCGAGGGTCATCAGCATTCTCTTGGGTTGTTTTCATTCTTTCTCTCGCTTTGGTCCATTTTCATTGGCCTCCTTCCAGTTCCCTAGTACTTCCTCCTGCCTTATTCATTCTGTTGTTAAACCTTTTTTTTTTTTGCGGTATGCGGGCCTCTCACTGTTGTGGCCTCTCCCATTGCAGAGCACAGGCTCCGGACGTGCAGGCTCAGCGGCCATGGCTCACGGGCCCAGCCGCTTTGCGGCATGTGGGATCTTCCCGGACCAGGGCACGAACCCGTGTCCCCTGCATCAGCAGGCGGACTCTCAACCACTGTGCCAGCAGGGAAGCCCGTTAAACCATTTTTAATGTATTTTATTTCAGATATCATAATCCTCAGATCTAGTATTTCAGTTTCTTTTTTATACTTTGTATTTCTTTCCTGAGAATCTCACCTTTTCTTTCTATCTTTTCTGGTAAATCTCTAAACATATTTATGATAATTATTTGAAAATCCTTATCTGGTCGGTTAGTTCTAGCATCAGGGTCATCTGTGTTCAAGTTTGTGACCATGGACCTGACACTGTGTTTAGAAAAACAGTGGAGACTGAGGGGCCCTGCTGCTTTATCTTCTCCTTGTGCCTGGTGGCTGAAGTGAAGGCCGCACCCCCGAGGGGCTCATCTTGGCAAGAAGGGTGGGTTCTTCCTGCTTTACAGCACACTTTCACATCTTCCTTTTTTTTTTTTTTTTCTCTAGTTGCGGTGAGCAGGGGCTACTCTTCGTTGAAGTGCACGGGCTTCTCATTGCAGTGGCTTGTCTTGTTGTGGAGCATAGGCTCTAGGCACATGGGCTTCAGTAGTTGTGGCATGCAGGCTCAGTAGTTGTGGCTCACAGGCTCTAAAGCACAGGCTTAGTAGTTGTGGCACACAGGCTTAGTTGCTCCGCAGTATGTGGGATGTTCCCAGACCAGGGATCAAACCTGTGTCCCCTGCATTGGCAGGTAGATTCTTAACCACTGAGCCACCAGGGAAGTCCCCAAGGAGGGGTTTTTATGCCAAGCAAATTGCTATGTCATTTGGGGTCTGTCAGACTCCAGTCTGTCGCCTGCCTCTGCCATCATTAGTAGCTTGGCTGGCTTGAGGTTTCGGCCTTGGCAGGTCCATCCACCACTCGTGCCAGACCTAGTGCTGGCCCCGGGCTGTTGGGCTCATCCTTCCCAGGGAAATGTGATCTCTCTCTGGAAAGCAGCTCTTGGCAGCTCTTCACCTGCCCTCCTCAACAGCCCGACAGCTATGTGTGGGTTTGGTGTCACCAAGCTCTTGCTGTTGGCTCATGGCTGAAGGCTGTCTGTCTCCCTGCTCCTGGCCTCTGCAACGATCTGCTGTCCAGGCCCAGCTATGCTCCACACCCCAAAGTGGGGGCCGTTCCCCTATATTTCTATGTCTTTAGTATCATTGCACCCTGGTGTTTCATTTTTTCTATTATCTGCCAATGTTTGCTGGTTATGGAGCAGTTGGAAGGTATGAGCACAAAGAAGAAAACAAAAATCGTCCGTAGCCCCAACTCAGAGGTGGGTGCTGCTGGAGTCTTTTGCATTCGTGGGGAGATAAAGCCTGAGCAATCTTATTGGTCTCATATAGCACAAGGGTCTGGGCCTTCGTTCCACTGAGACAGGAAAGAATTCTGGTCCCCTGGTTCTGTAACCCGTAACAAGAGCACAGGCCCAGACTGGCCCCCACCGTCCCGCAGTCTGTAAACGCCCAGACAAAATCCTCATGGCCCTCTCTGCCCCCCGACACTCCACGGCGAGCCTTAGCGAATCCTGTCAGGTCTACCTTTTATCTTTAAAGCATCTTCAGAATCTGACCACCTCCCAGCAGCCCGGCCCAGCCCCTGTCTCTCCCCTGCACTTGGAGACAACCCAGCCCCTGCTTTCCCCCCAGGCCCCTCCACCTTCTCTACACAGAGGAGCCAGGAAAATGGGTCAGATCAGGACCCTCCCACGCCTGGACTTGTCCATGCTGCTTGTGCTCACGCAGAACAGAGGTGGACGGTGTCTGACCAGCAAGGCCCCTCTGCCCCCTGTTGCCGCCACAGGCACCCCGCAATCCCTGCTGTCCCGGCCCCGGTGGGCTCCTGCTTTAGACTGCGGGTGCCGCTCCCTCCCCGGCAGCGCTGTCCTCAAACAGGTTTTCTCCAGGGCTGGTCTGAGCTGTGTCCTCCACCTGGGGTCTCCCCAGCCGCCCTGCCTGAAATGCTGCCACGCCGTCCCCGCTTCCCTTCACGGCTGTTTGCCCCCAGCGGAGAGCGCCGTGCAGTCTGTAGGCTGCTTCTAGTCAGCCTGGACCTGAGTTGTGTTTGTTCACACTCATGCCCCGAGCCTGGAAGGCAGGCCCTGGCCAAGGTGGCGACCAGGACAGGGATACAAATGGTGGGCAGGCAACCTGGTGGGCTGCTCCCTTATCCTCCACCCTGCAACACGTTTGGCTGCAGGGGCGACCGCCGGGAGTCCATCCTTGTGTCGTGGATGGGCTTCTGTCTGCGCTGGACTCTGTCCTCACCTCATGGCCTCCAGATGGCTTCTGTGCCTGCAGGCAGGGAGGAGGGCAGATGCGAGCGTCACCTCCCTGCCTTCTTCCTCAGGGCTGCCCCGACTCCCACTGCTCACTCCTGCTAATGAGTGGGCGAGGGGACCTGAGACTGGCTGCCTGGCACCCTGAGCAGCCATGGAATGGGAGGAGGGATGGGGTCCCCGTGTCCCCGCAGGGGCTCTGGATGCCCTGGAAGGAGCCGCTGGCTGTTGTCAGGCCACAGAGGCTGCTCCCCTGCGAACCCCTCACCCAGGCTGGTGGGGTCACAGGCTCCACTCGGCCCCCACAGTTCTTCCCTGAGCCCGGTTAGCGGCATAAAGGTGTCGTGTGGGGTCCATGGGGGTAGAGAGGAGGAACTGGGTTCTGGAGCCCGCTACGCCCCTGCCACTGCCAGCCCAGAGGCCCTGAGCAGGCGGCCTCCCCTGCGTGGTTTCCAGGCAGTGCTGTCACAGGTGGGCTGCACCACAAAGCAGGACACCTCCTGGCTGTGGTCCAGGAGGGGCTTCTGGTGAAAAAAGGCTGGAAAGTGGGATCATGGGGAGATCTTAGTGATTTATGTTTTCTTCATACCTTCCTCGATTTTCTAAATTTTGTTCAGTGAGCATATATTCCTTTTATGATTAAAAAAACAAAACAGGGGGCTTCCCTGGTGGCGCAGCGGTAGAGAGTCCGCCTGCCGATGCAGCGGACACGGGTTCGTGACCCGGTTCGGGAGGAGGCTGGGCCCGTGAGCCATGGCCGCTGAGCCTGCGCGTCCGGAGCCTGTGCTCCGCAACGGGAGAGGCCACAACAGTGAGAGGCCCGCGTACTGCAAAAAAAACCAAAAAAAACCAGCAAGCCTCTTTCTGCGCCCCACGGAGGGGCTAACACCTGCATTCTTGCAGTTCATGCGGGAGATGGCGGGGGCCTGGCAGATGACAGTGGAGCAGAAGTTCGGCCTGTTTTCTGCGGAGATAAAGGAAGCAGACCCCTTGGCTGCGTCGGAAGCCAGTCAGCCCAAACCCTGTGCCCCCGAGGTGACCCCTCACTGCATCTGGATCGATGTACGTGCCCCCGTCTCCCCTGTGCTCCACCCACTCTTCCCCGGGGTCGGGGGCTGCCCTGGGACTCCAGGTTGAAGACTGCCCCACCTCGGGGGTAGCTGGCCCATCTCTCTCCCCACTCCCCGCCGGTCTCGTCCCTTTGCCCCGTAGACCCCACCTGCCCTCCTGTGGGCCTGAGCCCCTCCTTGGCAGGCAGTGGTGGCTCGAGGGTGGGCGGCCACCTGGCCCCGCCAGCAACATGGCCCCACCAGCAGCGTATCCCTTTCCGTCCAGTTCCTGGTGCAGCGGTTCGAGATTGCCAAGTACTGCAGCTCTGATCAGGTGGAGATCTTCTCCAGCCTACTGCAGCGGTCCATGTCTCTGAGCATTGGGGGCACTGCGGGGAGCATGAACCGGCATGTGGCGGCCATCGGGCCCCGCTTCAAGTGAGAGCTCACCTCAGGGCCTGCTCCCCCGGGTTTCCTGTGGTTGGTCACTTGTTCACCAGAAACTGACCGAGCCCCCAGTACATGCAGGGCCCCTGGGAAGGGCATCCGCACATGATGGCCGAGGCCACCACGCCCTCTCGGGGCTGGGGACGTGGGGCAGCGTGCTGTCCACAGCAGGGAAGTGCGCAGGAGGTGCTTCATGTGGGGACCCGGCCAGCCAAACGCTGGGGGTGGGCAGCAGCAAAAGGATTCTGGTGACACACTGGAGAGGGAAAAATGGCCAGCTGTGTGGCAGAGCCTGGTGTGACAGCTCAGGCCCATTACCCTCTGGGGCCGATTGTGCCAATTGCACACCAAGCCCTGTGCAAAACCAGCAACACAGGGGTAGGGCACACACCCCAATAGGCAGCATGTGGCCCAGTGGGCCTCAAACCAGGTGCGGTGGTCAGGGGCGCTGTGGACACAGCAGGAGGGCCTGGCCTGGCATGGGGAGGGCTCTTGACTGGGCCTTCAGATACCTGGGGGGTCAGATGGAAGGAGGGTGAGGGGCCCCTGCAGGTGGGCACCACTCCCTCTACCTGTTCCCCTCCCTGAGCTCTTGACTCATGTTCCTGAAGCCCACTGGGCACGCCCTCGGGCCGTGCTTCTCAAACCAGTACCCAAGGGCTAGTTCTCTTTTTCCCTAATTTTCAGTCTGTTGTGGACCTATACTTTTACAAATTGCAACGAGAATGGGTTAGTAGGAGAGGATCCATGCTGGACCGTCCCAGCCATGGGAAGTGGCCATGGAGACGAGCAGGAGGGCTGCCCATTCCTGACCAGCGCGTCTGCAGATGCCTGCAGGGCAGCTCTGATCTTGCAGAATCCAAGCAGATTGTTCTTAGAACCTGAGTTCTACCTTCGTAGTCCCCGTAGGTGATGGTACCTCAGGGAGTGGTTTGCAGTTTGTGGGACCAAAGCTTCTGGCCGAGGGGCAGAGTCACACACATGTTGTTTTCCCCCCAACAAAAGTGAAGGTTTAAAAAACCTTACGTAAGGCATCAGGGTACAGTAATCCCAGACAGGTGACCACCTGCCCGATCCACAGCCCTGGCGGGAGGGCTCTGCCGCCTGCAGGTGGGCCCTGAGCTTAGGGAGAGGTTTGCAGGAGGCACCACTCACTGACCGGGGCCCTCTTGCAGGCTGCTGACCCTCGGCCTGACCCTCCTGCACGCGGACGTGCTTCCCAATGCGACCATCCGCAACGTGCTCCGCGAGAAGATCTACTCCACTGCCTTCGACTACTTCAGGTGCTGTCCCCACCCCACCCCCAGCCCCCAGGCCTGGGTCACTTGGCCTGCTGGGTGCCGACCCCCGGCTTAGTGGCCCGACTTGTCATTAGGAGGCTGCGCGCCCCACCTTGCCGCGCTTCCTGACTCCTAGACCCTGGCACTCACCCTCGTCCCTGGCTGTTTGCAGTTGTCCCCCAAAGTTCCCTACGCAGGGAGAGAAGAGGCTGCGTGAGGACATAAGCATAATGATTAAGTTCTGGACCGCCATGTTCTCAGATAAGAAGTACCTGACCGCCAGCCAGCTTGTTCCCCCAGGTGAGCCCCAGCCTCAGCTGTGCTGCATGGTCACCAGAGGCCCATGCCTGCCCGGTCACCTCTTCTCTGGCCGCTGCTGGGGAGCAGGAAGGAGGGCAGGGTCTCCAAGCAGACAGGCAGACACCCCCCAGTGTAACTTTCCAGCACGGGGCCATTCTCAGGGGCCCCCTGCATGCCCGACAGTCTGTATTGGACTACGGCCTATGTGCTGGGAGGGATAGGGCACGGTCCATTGTCACCTGGTGGGGCCAGTCTTACCGGCAGGTGACTCCAACATGGGGGTTCGTGGGAACGTCCCCTGAGGACAGGCACTTGCCCTGCAGCAGTTGGGGACCAGGGGCAGGTTTCTGGAAGAGGTGACATGTGAGCTGCATCTTGGAGCATGGAGGGTGGACGGGGTCAGGGAAAGGCGCTGAAGTGGGAGCCAGCAGCCGCCCCCACAGGAGGAAGCCCTGCTCTTGTTTCTCTGAAGCATGTAGCTGGTCACGCGCCCAGGCTGGGGGAGGTGCGTGTCTCTGCAGGCAGACCCACGTGGACAGCCTGGCCGCCACGAAAGGGAAAAGCAGGCACAGTGATTGTAAGCAGCTCTTGGCTCCACTCAGAGCAGGGCAGGCAGCCCTGCCATCTGTCCCCACGGGTCCCCGAGTCATCGCCATGTAGGAGGACACTGGGAGGTCAGTGCCATAATTATGATCAAGGCGGCTCCTCGATTTGCTTTGCTTTGGGCTCAGGGGAACATAACACACTTTAGAAAGCTTCCATCTGCAGTGGTCCATGAGGAAGTTTGCAGACGCCTGGTTCGTCCAGGGAAGCCGTCACCGGCCATCTCCCCCACCTGCTCCCCCACAGCTGCTTTGTCTGTGGTGAAGGTCCAGACACCTCTTTCTAGAATGCTGTGTCTGCCCACAGATAACCAGGACACCCGGAGCAATCTGGACATAGCGGTTGGCTCGCGCCAGCAGGCTACACAGGGCTGGATCAACACCTACCCACTGTCTAGCGGCATGTCCACCATCTCCAAGAAGTCAGGTCGGTGGGGCTTTGCTGCCGGGTCCCTTGGGTCCTCAGGGTCATAGAGCAGCTCCAAGGGACACTCTGTGCCCCCCCCATCCCCAGGCATGTCCAAGAAGACCAACCGGGGCTCCCAGCTGCACAAGTACTACATGAAGCGCCGGACGCTGCTGCTGTCCCTGCTGGTGAGGCCCGTGCGCCATGCCTGCAGCGCTGGGGTGGGGGAGGGGCGCGGGCCATGCAGAGGCACATCCGTGTCTGTGTCCCTCACCAGGCCACTGAGATCGAGCGTCTCATCACGTGGTACAACCCACTGTCAGCCCCAGAGCTAGAGCTGGACCAGGCTGGAGAGAGCAGCGTGGCCAACTGGAGGTCCAAGTACATCAGCCTGAGCGAGAAGCAGTGGAAGGACAATGTGAACCTCGCCTGGAGCATCTCTCCTCATCTGGCCGTGCAACTGCCAGCCAGGTGGGCTGCCTGAGAGGCCGTGCCGGAGGTCCAGCACAAGGCACCTGGCGGGGGGAGGGCACGTGTCACAGCCAAGGACTGTAAGGGAAGAGCCATCGTAGCCCCAGATGCTCCCCAGTCCTGTGCAGTGGTAGGGTCTGTCCTGCCAGGGGCCCAGCACCCCGGAGCCCGAGGAGATAACATCAGGGCACCCCAGGGCCTCACCTTGTTTGATGAGGAAAGGAAACACCTGTGGTTACTCTGGGAGGTAGGCCTGGGGGGTCTGGGTTGGTTCCTGGGTGGCATCTTCAGGCAGCAGGCTACTCAGAGGGGCGGCTGGCAACCGAGTGTCCTGTGAGCTGTCCTGAGGCAGCTCTTAACAGGGATAGGACTCAGGCTGGTAGGTGCTGAGAGGGGCTTCCCAGGCCCCCTGTGCTGAATCCCAGTAGACTCCACGTGTCTGCGTGCAGGGTGGGCCTTTCTTCCCCGGAGCCCATGGTGCATACTTACTGCTTCCTTCTTCGGGTCCTAAGTCCTTCTCAGGACAGGATCGCAGCCTGACGGTATTTAGGCAGCAGCTGCCTGCCTTAGCCTTGGGCGGTCACACCTGAACACTTTGCACCCACCCTCCCACCTGCTAGCGTGCCTTCTGGCCCACGGGTGCCACAACGTGGATGGGTGCTTTGGGGGCCAGGCCAAGGGAGGTGTCCTTGGAAGGATCATTCCTGCTCCAAGGAGTTCTGCCCTTGGGTCACAGCCGGTCACAGTAAACACCATGTCAGTAGCCACAGTGCTCAGATGTCACTGGGTGTTGGTCCACATCCCTTAGTCCAGGGCTCCCCCAGCCCCCGTCTTCAGTGTCTGCCACCCACACCCTCTTTGCCTGCAGGTTCAAAAACACAGAAGCTATCGGCAATGAGGTGACCCGTCTGGTTCGCTTGGACCCAGGAGCCGTTAGTGACATCCCCGAAGCCATCAAGGTAGCATGGCGGGTAGTGTGCCAGGGCCTGGTCCTAAGTGCACAGAAACAAAAGTGCCTCCAGGGATGCCTGGAGGCGAGGAACACAACCAAAACCCACTGACCTCAGTGGTACCACGATTTTTCTGATCTCTTGTGTTATCTACTCTTCGGATGAAACATTTACTGTGTTTACAGTAGAAAAACGTTGAGTGTATTTCACCCCGGTTGAAGTTGTGCTGTTGTATGTAATGTGTCAGAAGCTGTTATAAATGCCTTGCAGTTTTCACTCCTTGGGGCCATCCCTGTGACTCCCTTCTTCCTCCCCAGTTCCTGGTCACCTGGCACACCATCGACGCCGATGCCCCCGAGCTCAGCCATGTGCTGTGCTGGGCACCCGCAGACCCACCCACAGGCCTGTCCTACTTCTCCAGCATGTACCCGCCGCACCCACTCACGGCGCAGTACGGGGTCAAAGTCCTACGGTCCTTCCCGCCGGTGAGCCCATCTGCTGGGTCGAGCTCGGGGGGCTGCCCAGCCCCACGGGGGGACAGAGGGCAGGCCTGATTGAGGGTGAGGACGTGTCCTGGGGGTGGAGTGACAGCAGGGCCAGTCCAGGTGGGGTGGGGCCCTGGGACCCCTGTCCTGCCTGGTGCTCTCACCCCTTCCTGAGTCATGACTGCTCCTCCCCCACCACACAGGATGCCATCCTGTTCTACATCCCCCAGATTGTGCAGGCCCTCAGGTATGACAAGGTAAGGCATGCAGCACAGGCCTACCAGCCTGGAGGGCCGGGCGGGCAGCGGGACGGAGCCCAGGAGCAGGGCCACTGAGCTGGGACCTGGGCTTGAGGTCTCTCACCCCCATGTGGTCGTCCAGCACCCAAGGCCCAGTCCTGCTGTGCTGGGTGAACAGGTACTGGAGACATTGCTGGCTGCTTCCTCAGGGTGGGCGACCTGGCCTGGGACCCGTACCTGCTGGATGGGGGTCTCAGCAGGTCCCCTAGCTCCCAAATCCAGCTCCCCGTCTCCTGGAGGGAGTGGCCAAGGGGTTGGAGGAGACAGCATGTGTATTAGTGAGCTCAGGCCACCCTGGCAAAGTACACAGACTCGGGGCTTAAACTACAGGGAGCTCGTTCCACACAGTCTGGAGGCTGGACATCTGAGATCCAGGTGTCAGCAGGGCTGGTTTGCCAAGGCCCTCTCCTTGCCGTGTAGACGGCAGCTTCTCCCTGTATCCCCACATGGCTGTCCATTTGTGTGTGTCCTAATCTCTTCTTATAAGGATACAAGTCAGATCGGATCAGGGCCCTCTACTGATCTCATGTAACTTCATCAGTTCTTTAAAGGCCTATATCCAAATACAGTCACATTCTGTGGGGGGGGGGGGGGACTTAAACATATGAATGGGGGGTGGGGGTGGATAATTCAGCCATAACAGTGTACATGCACATAGGGGCCTGGCAAAGGGCCTGGCCAGAAAACACCCACGGGGTGACCACAGCCCGGAGCCCTCACCACCCGCGCTTCATCACGGTGCCACACCCAAGCCTGCGCCTGAGGGCAGCAGTGTCTACCCCTCCTGCTCCTGCCCATACACCCCCCTGCCCTGGGCCCACAGGGCCCCAGAACACCCCATGCCCTGGCCAAGCCTGGAGACCCTGCACTGGAGGTTGCACATTCATGGTTCATCTTTAGATCTAGTTGCTGTGTTAGAATTGGGTTATTTGAAGTTTGACCTGTTTGGGAAGCCCACCCACCCAAGTTGAGGACATCTGTCCAAGGAATACTTTACCAGATGGGCCGCAAATGACTGTGGGGAGGGAGAGGCTGCACCCCAGGAGTCTTCCAGAAAGGCCAGCTGCCTTTGTAACCTAGGACATGGGAATTCAGCCTGAGCTGGGAGTGACATAGGGTTTTCTGGGACCCGTCCATCACTGGGCAGCGTCTTCTAGACACCAGTCCACAGGGGCGCATTTGAAACCCGCCTGCCCACGCGTCGTGCTTGACGACAGCAGAAGCTGGTTAGAGTCCAGGGCTTAGAGTCCAGAGGAGGGAACAGAGGAGACAAAAGCTGGTGCATGCCTTCATAGACAAAGACCCCGGCAGCTGGCCAGCCAGCTGGACTCGGGCTCAACTCCGCTGCGCAGGAGAGGTGCTCACAGCCGGCACCGCTCGACCACGCTTCTTTCTGGGTCTGCCAAGCATGGAGTCATTGCTGCTTGGGTGAGAGTGGCCTCTCTTGGTGGAGTGTGGCCAGCCTGGGCTGACCTTGCTTTCCTACAGATGGGCTATGTGCGGGAGTATATTCTGTGGGCGGCATCCAAGTCCCAGCTCCTGGCACACCAATTCATCTGGAACATGAAGACGAACATCTATGTGGATGAAGAGGGGCACCAGAAAGACCGTGAGTGCCCGTCCCTCGGGCCCCACCCTGTCCTCACCACCTGCCCAGGGTCATCATTCCTCCACTCCCACCTCTGACCCCTGCCTGGCCCCCAAGACCCTGTGGCTCCGTCCTGCAGCTCCACGGGCAGCGCTTCCCAAACCAGGTCATCTCAGGACCCTCACACCCTTGAAAACTACAGACCCTCAAAGAGCTTGGGTTTATGTGGCCTTTGGCCATCCATGCACACCAACATTAGAAATTAAAAATAGAGGGCTTCCCTGGTGGCGCAGTGGTTAAGAATCTGCCTGCCAATGCAGGGGACAAGGGTTCGAGCCCTGGTCTGGGCAGATCCCACATGCTGCGGAGCAACTAAGCCCGTGCGCCACAACTACTGAGCCTGTGCTCTAGAGCCCGCGAGCCACAACTACTGAGCCCGTGTGCCACAACTACTGAAGCCCGCGTGCCTAGAGCCCATGCTCCGCAACAAGAGAAGCCACCGCAGTGAGAAGCCCACGCACCACAACGAAGAGTAGCCCCCGCTCGTCGCAACCAGAGAAAGCCTGCGTGCAGCAACAAAGCCCCAAAGCAGCCAAAATTAAAAATAAAATTAAAAAAAAAAATAGAGACCCATCTCACATAAACATAACTTTTAAAGAAGTGAGCAAGAAGAGTAGCATTGTTTAACACGTTTACAGGCCCCTTTAGTGCCTGTGGGAGATGAGGTCATCAGTGCGGTGGGAGATCCCCTCACTCTGCCTCTGCATTTCATGTCAGAATATGCTGTTTGGGCTGAAGTGGCTGCAGGAGATTGGGCCTTGCTGACCCATAGTTGGAAACGGAGGAGTGTCTGGTGTTCAGGCCCCCATGGGTGCTCCCCGCCAATGCTACCAAGCTTGGCGGGATGGTTTCTCAGGGGTTCAGTGCAGTGAGGAGTCTGAACCGTGTTGTGAGCCTCGCTCTCTGTTCATCCAGCCCCTGCTTGCCCTGCACTCGCCCCTCGCAGGACCTGTAACACCCGCTGTGGTCACACCCAACGTGCAGGGCAGGGTCTCCAGTGCTCACGCATTTCGTGACACAGTATTTAAAGATCCTGTGTGTGGAGCCCCAGCTGCCTCACAGGACAGAAACGTTTCTGAGTGCTGGGAAACTGTCAGGCTTTTTTGTCAAGTTTAACAAAGTTTTGTAGTTGTTTTCCTTAAATGGCAGATTCATTTTATTGATTTTCAAGAAAATATCTGCCATAAGTCTACGTCTGGGTGACTTTACCTTATCTCTTAGTCACTCCTTCAAGTAAAAATGACGTTCCCTGGAAGAGGGGACAGTCAGATGCAGGTACTCCCCTGAGACCACCACACGCTTCAGGTGCGGCCCCCGTGAGCATCTGTGATCCTGGGGCCCTCCACTCGCTACAGCCTCACGGGCATCAGCACCCTGAGGAGGGCAGACCTCCTCTGGGTGGGGTCTGGAGAGAGGGTCCCCGGGACTGCAGGCTCACCCTCGGTTTCTCTGCAGCTGACATTGGCGACCTCCTGGAACAGCTGGTGGAAGAGATCACAAGCTCCCTGTCTGGCCCGGCCAAGGACTTCTACCAGCGGGAATTCGACTTCTTCAACAAGATCACTAACGTGTCAGCCATCATCAAGTAAGTGGCATCTTCTCCAGGCCCCACTTGTGGGAGCTGCCCAAGGAGCTTTGTAGACTCCTGACGTCTCCCGCTAAGGAACAGCCAGACGGGGAGTCTGCTCCCACTGTCCAGGGCCCCCGTGGGCATAGCAGATGCACAGAAAACACCACCTCAGGTTCACTTTGGGTCTTGCCCAAGCCTGAGGACATCTGCTCTCCAGGTTCTGATGGTCCCCGTGGTATTAGGGAAACCAGACTCCTTTGCAGCCGCGAGGTCCTTTCTTTTTTTTTTTTTTTTTTTTTTTTTTTTGCGGGGTCTTTTTTTGATTCACCTCCTGGGCCCTCATTCACGTGGAGCAGACGCCAACCTTGGACGTCTTGGCCACCCATTTGTGCAGGATGGGGCCCCGGGGTTGCGGATGCTGGCCAAGCGCCTGGGGAGGCAACAGGGGAGCCCTAGTGCTGTTCCTCCAGGCGCCTAGTCGCCACACTGTCCCCAGTGCTCAGGCTCCCCCACTACCCCATCACTGCGGGCCATGTGTCCCATGGTCCTCTCCTGACCAGTTCTAAGCAGAGCGGCAACGTGGCTGCAGAGATGGAGGGTCAGGGTGGACTCCCTGGGCCTCTGCCACGTGAGAGGCGTCATTCCATTTCACTCGCCTTGTCGTGGGGCGCAGAGGTCTGAGGGTCTGCCCGAGGCCACACTGCCAGTAAACCACGTAGCCCGCAGCCTGACCCCCACAGCATTGCACACCCCCTTCCCCTGCCCCAGGTGGCAGAGTGCAGGGCTAGGGCCCTCGGACAGGAGGGCCTGTCTGTGCCCCGAAGCCACAGACACCAGCGTCTGTGTCTTGTTCTCCAGGCCCTACCCTAAAGGTGACGAGAGGAAGAGGGCTTGTCTGTCGGCTCTGTCTGAAGTGAAGGTGCAGCCTGGTGAGCAGGGTTTGAGGCCAGTGAGATGGGGGTCTGGGGGACCCTGGGTGCCCAGCACCCCTCTCCAGAACCTGCCCCTGCCAGTGGTCACTCTTGGTTCTCCTAGCTACAGCTGTTTTCCGAAGGCCGAGGCCCTGTCCTTGGCAGCTGTGCTTCTAGAAGTTTCCTGAGCTCCAGTGTAACAGAAGCAACGCAGGCCACACAGTGGGCTTAGGGAGGAGCGGGGGTGTCCCAGGTGTGCTAGGGCCTGTAGGATGAGGGGGCCCATGCCCCCCTCCCTGGTGCTCTTGCCACGTGGTCAGATCCATGTCTTTTCAAGACAAGATGGGAACCCAGACGTCACCGCACAGCTCTCCGTTCTTAAGTCTTACACACTCGTTCTTCAAAACCCTGGCCTTGCACACTTGCCCACTGCCCGCCTCAGTGGTAGGCACCAGTGCAGGGCCCTGGGTGGGCCTCTCCTGACTGTGCTGAGCCCTGCCCAGCCCCGCCCCAGAGAACACTCAGCCTCCCAGAGGACACCATGCTGCTGGGTCGTGTCCCCGAGGCACTGGGGAGCCAGCTGGGCTCTAGAGCAGAGTGGAGCTCGGGCCGTGTGAGGGAGGCTGGGCTGGCGAGGGAAGGAGGGTGGATGAGGTGGGGGCCTGCATGCTCCCCAGGGGCCCAGTCCCTCCCACCAGGACCCCGCCTCAAGCACCCCCACCTCCGGGGGCTCGGGGAACTGTGGTCCCTGACCAGGAAGGGCCTTCTCTCAACCTGCGCTGACAGGGTCGAGCTGGGGGTGTCAGGTGGGTGGGTGCTGGGGCTCCTGTGTCCTGTGGCATTGGCGGCCAGTGGCTTGAGAAGCTGAGGGTTTAGGGTGTCCTCTTGGAGAAGCGTCTGCGGGAGGTGGTTGCCCCATGTGGAACGTCAGGATGGGCCCAGGGAAACAGCACAGAGTCAGGGAAGACAGCCTTACCGGCCTCGGAACAAGGAGTCGGCGGTGCCGCAGGCAAGGCCCTTGAGGCCTCAGCACAGCCCCGTCTGCTGGGAAAGCCTCATCCTGCTCGGGCCCTGGGATGTCCCTTCTGTCCCTCATAGGCTGCTACCTGCCCAGCAACCCCGAGGCCATCGTGCTGGACATCGACTACAAGTCCGGGACGCCCATGCAGAGGTGAGGCACCACCTGCAAACTCCCCCTCACGGGCTCCCATTCCCTGTCACTTGCGCCCCATTCTCTTTTGTTTTCCAGCGCTGCAAAGGCCCCGTATCTGGCTAAGTTCAAGGTGAAACGATGCGGAGTTAGTGAACTTGAGAAGGAAGGTCAGTGGGGCACGTCCGATGTAGTTTGGGGTCCCCATGAACGGTGACAGCCTCCGGCCAGTCAGTCTGGGCCCTTGTCTGGGGGTGGCAGGCACGTGTGCAGTGACAGAGGCCCTGGGGAGGACTGGTCAGGCTTGGCTGCCGTGAGAGTGACCGCAGGCTGGCAGCCTCCACAGCAGGAGTCGATTCTCTCCATCTGGAGGCCGGGGTGTCAGCAGGGCCCTGCTCCCTCCTGAAGTGCTGTGAAGGATCCTTCCGGCCTCTTCCCGGGACAGGGCATGGTTGTTCCTCAGCTGTGGATGCCACATACATCACACTCTGCAGTTCTGGGGGGGCATGAATGTCGGGAGCACAGCAGCACAAGGGTGTGGCCCTGGGTCCTTGCTCCTCAGCTGTTCTTAGGAAGAGACCCTGGCCCCATGGCCCCACCCACTGACCCCTGGTGTCTGCTGGGCCTCGTTGGCCTCTTTAGGGTTTTGCAGAGATGATCCCTACGGCTCTGTGTTGCTTCAGGCACATGATCAGAGCTCACCCCCAGCATCCTCAGAGGGCCTCTCTGCCCGCTGCTGACAGGCACCCTCTCCTTGTGCAGGTCTGCGGTGCTGCTCAGACTCCGAGGATGAGGGCAGCACGCAGGAGGCCGATGGCCAGAAAATCTCCTGGCAAGCAGCCATCTTCAAAGTGGGAGACGACTGCCGTCAGGTAGTGGGCTGGGCAGGCAGGGCAGGGCCGGAGGTGTGCGGGGCCGGGGCAGGCCCACCTCTCTCCAAGGCTCCAGGCACACTTCTCAGCATCACACAGAAATAGGAATCCTTGGTTCCCCATTTGGTTCTGTTGCCTTGGAGTACATCAGGGCTTTCTGCTAAACCCAGAGGCCTCTCCAGTGGCCCCCCTCCCGCTGTACACCCTGGCTGCTCAGGGGGAACTGCCCCGGGGGAATGGGTGCCCCTTACACCCACCGCCAGGCAGTGCATCCTCGCAGTCTGCCCAGGGAGCAGTGGGCAGTGAGGCTCACCAGGGCCTCCCTCCCTCCTCCCCCTCCCCCTCACTGGGCAGGGCCGCAGGCACCTGGAGCCAGCAGCCCACTACGACCCTGAGTCTCTCCTGGTTCCCAGGACATGCTGGCCTTGCAGATCATCGACCTCTTCAAAAACATCTTCCAGCTGGTTGGCCTGGATCTCTTCGTCTTTCCGTACCGGGTGGTGGCCACCGCCCCTGGGGTAAGTTTCCCAAGCAGTTGCTTGGGTGCTGCCCCTGTCCCTCGCCCTGTGGTGTGCCCGCAGCCTGAGCCTCGGCCCTTCCTCCCTAGTGCGGGGTGATCGAGTGCATCCCTGACTGTACCTCTCGGGACCAGCTGGGCCGCCAGACCGACTTTGGCATGTACGACTATTTCACACGCCAGTACGGGGATGAGTCCACGCTGGCCTTCCAGCAGGTGGGCAGCAGGGCGGCCCCACTGCCCGCCAGCCCCAGCTCCTGCATTGGTCAGCACCCTGTTTTCTAAGTCCTCGTATGTCTGGGGGTAAAACCAGAGCATCTGTAACCTTCCTTGGGATGAAAGGCCTGCCTCGAGAGGGGCTCCCCAGGAGAAAGCTGACAGGAGTTGAAGGGGGGAAGGGGCCACAGCCCTGCACCTCAGATGCACCCACTTGTCACTCCGACTACCAAGGTCTGGCTTGCTGATCTAGGTGCAGGCCCAGGGGTTCCAGGGTGCCCGCAGGCCCAAGAGGGCCCAGCTCCAGGGCACCCTGAGCATGCTGTCTCTGCACAGGCACGCTATAACTTCATCCGCAGCATGGCTGCCTACAGCCTCCTGCTGTTCCTGCTGCAGATCAAGGACCGGCACAACGGCAACATCATGCTGGACAAGAAGGGCCACATCATCCACATCGGTGGGTGGGCATCCTGCCGCGGGGGCACCGGGGCAGGGGCTCTGGGGGTTGGGGAGCTGGGCTTCCTTTCCAGCCGCTGCTCCCCAGTGTCCCCAGGAAACAGCGGCTACAGGGCATACACCCAGCTTTGCCCTGCAGCTGATCCCAGCACGATGGCTCTTTGGGGTATTGCAGACTTTGGCTTCATGTTTGAAAGCTCCCCGGGTGGCAACCTCGGCTGGGAACCAGACATCAAGCTCACGGACGAGATGGTGATGATCATGGGGGGCAAGATGGAGGCCACCCCCTTCAAGTGGTTCATGGAGATGTGTGTCCGCGGCTACCTGGCCGTGCGGTGAGCCCCGCGGGTGGGGCGGGGGGCAGGGAGGGGCTTCCATACTGGGCCCGTTCATCCAGCAAGCCCCGCCCACCCCTCAAAGTTCTCCTCGGGTCATCTCAGGCCTTTGGTGGACACAGAACTGGGGTTGGGGCAGGGGGATGCACGGGAGGCCCCCTGAGGCCTTGCCTTCCTGTCACGTCTCTGCCACCTGTGCCAGCAGCATCTTGCTCCAGGCATCAGTGACCCGCCACATTCTGCATCTCCCAGGCTTGGCCTCGCCTGCTGACGCCTTGGGGCCCCTCTGAGCACCCCACCTGCCCTTCCTCCCTAGCCTGAGCCCCTGCACCCCCAGGCTGCGTGCCGGGGACTCAGGTCCTGGCTTCCAAGTGTCATGTGGCTGACGCCACAGAGCAGTGTGGGGACACCTGGACTCCAACCCGAGTCTGTTGAAGCCTGCATGGCACGTACGCAGTTCCCTTCAAGAAGGGAGAATCCCTTCCTTAGCCAGGCACAGAACCATGGCAGGGGCCGAGGGCAGGCCCTGGGCAGGGGCTGCATGTTGACCACAGGCAGGGCCCCCACCCAGGCTGGCCTCTGTCCACGTCCTTCCCTGCCTCTCCCCAGGCCCTACATGGACGCCGTCGTCTCTCTGGTCACTCTCATGCTGGACACGGGCCTTCCCTGCTTCCGCGGCCAGACAATCAAGCTCTTGAAGTAGGTCCGGCAGGCAGGCCACTTGGGGGCAGCTGTCCCCTGAGATGGGAGCCCTTCGAGTGCTGGTAATGGGGACTGTTATCGAGGCCAAGTGCTCCCCCTTGGACGCTCAGACAGACGGGGTCCTGGGTGAGGAGCTGTCCCCAGACCTTCCGTGTGTGAGGTGCCTTGACTTAGGCGGAGGATGTACCCTGCGGCCCTTCGTCCCTCAAGGGTGTGTCTGTGCCAAGCCCCGGGGCTGCAGTGGCTCAGCCCCCTGCCAGTCCTACCCTGGCTGCAGGCCCCTGGGCCCGGGAGGTTCTGGGAAGGAGCCCAAGCCCTCGAGGCCAGCTGGGAACCGTGTCCCCACAGGAGGCCAGGCCACATCCCTGCAGGGAGGGCAGCCTGGAGCCCTGGGGGCGGCAGCCCTGACACGGCCCTTCCCCCCACCAGGCACAGGTTCAGCCCCAACATGACAGAGCGAGAGGCCGCAAATTTCATTCTAAAGGTCATTCAGAGCTGCTTCCTCAGCAACAGGCAAGTCACCCTGTCCTGCCCCACCCATGCACCCGTGTCACCTATCCAGTGTTCAGTGGGCACTTGTGCAGGCCCCCACCTGGGCCAGGTGACAGGATGCACTGCCCCGAGACGCCCAGCCCAGCGGGGCAGGAAGTGAGTTCTGAGAGGCTTCAACCCCCTTCAGCTGCTGTGGGGGCCGTGACAGGAGGGGCCTGGTGGGGGAACTGGGGCCACTAGAAGTGGTGGGGCCAGGCCTCAGTGACAGGCCTGGGAACAGGCTCCCAGGGGCTGTGACAGTCGAAGGTGGCCTTGAGGTTTATAGGCTCAACAACAGGGTGAGCGAGGGGAGTCCAGGCCCCGGGAGGTGCAGAGGCCCCAGGTCCACACCCTGGGGACAGAGAACTGGCTCCGGTGGACCCGCCGAGGTCCAGTGGCACAGGAGCGCCACTTGGTTTTGCTGACTGGGGAGCAGAGAAGTGGGGTGGCTCAGGGCAGCAGGAGGAGTTTGGAGGGCTGCATGAGGCAGGCTCTCCTGATGGTGATGTGAGGCGGGGCGGAGGGGGAGTGCACAGACCCCTTCCAGCCACATGCGAGGCCCCAAGGCTGGGAGTCAACTCCTACAGACGCACCCCTGGGCCACATCCCGGGCCCCAGGACTGAGGGCAGGCGTCTGGCTGAGGAAGGGCATCCTCTTGAGCCCACTTTGGGGCCCATGAGCAAGGAGGAGACAGGGCATAACAGGGAGGCTGTGGCCATGGGTGAGGGAGCAAGTGTCCCAGGGAGAGAGGGGCTGGCGGGCAGACAAAAAGTCTGCGATCGGGCACTCGACCTCCAGGGGTGTAGCAGGGTGGCTCAGGGGGTCGGGTCCCCAGACCAGCACAGGCCCCTCACAATCCCCTCTGCTCTCTGCTCCCAGGAGCCGGACCTATGACATGATCCAGTACTATCAGAACGACATCCCCTACTGAGGGGCAGAGTGCCGCAATCACTGCTTGCTGCTGCGCATGGCCTACCACCTCATCCGATGGACAGATGGGCCGAGACGCCCCTGCAGAGCCCGGCAACCCGCTGCCTCCCGAGGTGTCGCCTACATGGCCCGTGTGGCTGGAACGACAATCAGAGCCAGTCTTTGCGCAGGTGTGAGCTATGCTTACACTGGACACATTCCCTACCTGTCTTGTTCTCAGAGGTACATGAAGTATTTTCTTGTGTATAAAAAATGGAAAAATTATATTCAACCTAAGATTCAACCAACGTGAACAAAATAAAAACAAAAAAACTGCGTTGGAACCAATCCAGTACTAAGTGCACATTCAGCTAGGGGTGGGGGGCGCCCGCCCAGGAGCCTCGCAGCCACGAGGGGCCATCCCCGGTGCCCTGGCTGTGAGCTTCACAAAGACGACTCACCACAGCACAGATGTACCGAAAATAGCACTGTATTTTCCCTGATGGCTCTCAGGGCTCCCGCAGAGGCCACCCGGCCGCCCCATTCTCATCTCTCCTCCGTAGGCGTTGCTCTGCATCCTGCCTCTGCTCCGGTCCTTCCCGGTGTCCCTCTCGACCACCTTCAGGTCCTCTACTCCAGGACACCACCGTCCTCATGCACCAACCTCCCCGCAGTGTCCATCCCCACCCACGTGACCCTCCAAAGACCCAAAACTAAAAAAACGATGACAAAATATCTAGAAATAAGTCACACAAAAGATTGGTTAAAAAGCAGGTAAGGACTTCCCTGGTGTCCCAGCAGTTAAGAATCTGCCTGCCAATGCAGGGGACATGGGTTCAAGCCCTGGTCTGGGAAGATCCCACATGCCGCAGAGCAACTAAGCCCGTGCGCCACAACTGCTGAGCCTGTGCTCTAGAGCCCGCAAGCCACAGCAGCTGAGCCCACGTGCCACAAGTACAGAAGCCCGTGCACCTAGAGCCCGTGCTTCACAACAAGAGAAGCCACTGCAATGCCAAGCCCGCGCACTGCAACAGAGTAGCCCCTGCTCGCCACAACTAGAGAAAGCTCGCACACAGCATCGAAGACCCAACACAGCCAAAAATAATTAATTTTAAAAAGTAATTTAAAAAAAAAAGGTAAGATACAGGTGAAGAGACTGCAGACAGTGAAAGGCAGAACAATGAAATTACCAAAATTACCAAAAATGAGGCAAATGAGGAAATTACCAAAAAAGAGGCAAAAATGAGGCATAAAGAAAAGGAGAGTTGAATGAGACGCTCCAGTCACCCACAACAGGATTCCAGAGTTGGTGAAAAACACCCACTCAGCTGCAGGAAGCACAATATAAATAAATATAAAGAAGCAGCCAATATGTAAGTTAAAAAAACTTTTTAAAATATTAAATTAATCCAAAAGAAGGCAGGAAAGGAAAAAGAAAAGATGGGACAAAAAGTTTCACAATAGCAGACGACAGTCCTACTGCATCATTAATTCTGTTAAGTATGGACAACTGAGCACTCCAGTCAGGAGGCAGGAATTATAAACATGGATAAACATGAGACCCAATTATATGCTGATGACAAGCAGTGCACTTTATAGTCATGGACCTGACGCAGAAGTAGAGGAAATAGATTCACCATCATTGTGTGTACGTGTGTTTCCGAAGCAAAATTTGACAGAATTCAGGGGAGAAATAAACTAGTAGAGTTGGAGATTTCAACATCCTTCTCTGTACAAGTGATAGAACACAGGATGCCGTCACACATGTAGCCCTGATGGAGATTATGAAATGCAGTCCGGGGCTTCCCTGGTGGCGCAGTGGTTGAGAATCTGCCTGCTAATGCAGGGGACACGGGTTCGAGCCCTGGTCTGGGAGGATCCCACATGCCGCGGAGCAACTAGGCCCGTGAGCCACAACTACTGAGCCTGCGCGTCTGGAGCCTGTGCTACACAACAAGAGAGGCCGCAATAGTGAGAGGCCCGCGCACCGCGATGAAGAGTAGCCTCCACTTGCCACAACTAGAGAAAGCCCTCGCACAGAAACGAAGACCCAACACAGCAAAAATTAATTAATTAATGAAATGCAGTCCGTCAGCAGCAGCACCCCATCCGTACCTGTTCACCATGTTAGGCTGATCCCACGGAATTGTTAGGAATCAATAAGATATCTGGAAGAACCCTAAATACTTAGAAATTGAAAGAGTGGAACTGAAACACCAGACAAAATACACGTAAGAGCCAAGGGGATGATCCGAGTTAAATGCCTTAAGGTCGGGTTTGGGGAGGTGGGTAGAGGTGAGCCTGTTCAAGTAGAAAGGAAACCAGAATATCGGGTGTGACTTCCAGAAAGATCAAACAGAAGACCAGGAAGAGGGGGGGAGCATAGGAAGTGCAGGACAAACACACTATAAAATGTAGAAACACACGCAAACACAGTAGAACTGATTTGAAACCACAATACTTGGAAAGAAAGCCTGTCAAACTGGCTTTAAAATGAAAGTCAATTGAATGGCACGTCCAAGACTCCGGCAATATGGCAAATTATACATCTTGAAAAGTTAGAAATGCTATTTACACTACTGGGTAGAAAAATCTAAATCCACAAGCTGACAAGCAAATAGATTTCTTTAGAGACAGAAAACAAAATGAAATTTAAAATCTTAAAACAGTCAAGTTCCTCTTTCGATGACACAGGAGACAAAAGACCAACCCAAGAGCCTGATACCTTCGAGGAGTTTCTGGGGAAGCTTGGTTCACAGTCAGGACGGGGTGTACCCAAAACATCACTCCCTTGATGTGAGTGTCTGCGAAAAACTCTGAAATGCTTAAAGGTGATATACTGACAGCTGTCCCCTTAGACAATACTGTGTTTCACCACCTCTGTTCAGCTCTTGGCACTGGGGGCCCTCGCCAGTCTAGTCAGGCCACAAAAGGAAACAGTGTAAGAATCTGGAAAGGAGAAATAAAACTCAGAGATGGCCTTTGTGTACATAAAAATCCAAAATAATCTGCATATATTCTATAGTCAAGGTTCAGGATACAGGTTAATATACAAAAGTCAATTATGTGTGTGTGTGTGTGTATGTGTGTACATATATCTTACAACAACAAAAGTGAAAACAGTACCATTTACCATTGCACCCTAAACAAATACCAAGAAAAAAATCTAATGACCTACTCATAAGAAACACTGAAAACTACAAATGTTGAAAGAAGATCTAAACAAATATTCATGGGTTGGAAAACCCAACATTATACAGATGTTTGTTTCTCCCCAAATTGATCTGTAGTTTCACTGCAAATGCCAATCGAAATCCCAGAAAGTTCTGTAGTGGAAATTGGCAAGTCTAAAATCTATATGGGAATGCAAAGGTCAAAATATAGCTATTTGGATCTTGAAGACCCACAAGCTAGATATCAAGAATTATCCTTGGGCTTCCCTGGTGGCACAGTGGTTGAGAGTCCGCCTGCCGATGCAGGGGACACGGGTTTGTGCCCCGGTCTGGGAAGATCCCACATGCCGCGGAGCGGCTGGGCCCGTGAGCCATGGCCGCTGAGCCTGCATGTCTGGAGCCTGTGCTCCGCAACGGGAGAGGCCACAACAGTGAGAGGCCCGCATACCGCAAAAAAAAAAAAAAAAAAAAAAATTATACTTAAGCCATGGACATTAAGACACTGTGGCTTCCTGGTTCAAGGAAAGACAAGTGAACAGTGGAAGAGATGAAGTCCAGGGACGTATACCCACATACATGCAGACACTGCAGAGCAGTCAGGGAAAGATGGTCTTTGCAATAATGGTGCATTAACTGGATAGCAGTATAGAAAATAACTCAACCTCGACTGCCTACCTCACATCAGACATAGAAATTAATTCCAGGTGGACTGGAAAGATGTATGTTAAAGGTAAACTTTAAAGGCTTTTAGAAGAAAATACAGAAGCGTGTCTTGATGACCTCAGAACACACAGATTTCTTAAGCAGAACCAAAACACTAATTATAAAGGGGAAAAAATTAAATTGGACTCTATGAAAATACATGCCACAAACCTGGGAAGATATTTGCAATTACCTATATCTGTTCAAAGGACTTACAGCCAGAATATATAAAGAACTACTAAAAAATCAGTAAGACACAATTGAATAGAAAAATGGGCAAAAAACCTGAACAGGCATTTCACAAAAGACATTGTCCAAACAGCCAATAAACATAGTAAGAGGTGTTCAACTTCATTAGTCATCATTGCAAATTAAAACCACAATGTGATACCCACTCACCCCCCTGCCTGTCTGAAACATAAAATGATACATAATGTCAAGCATTGGGGCATGTGGAGCACCTGGAACTCTCAGTTGCTGCTGCTGGGTGTGAAGCATCCAGCAAGGCTGAACAGCTCAAGCCAGCAGTTCCCCACCTACACACATACCCGACAGACTTAGGAAATCTGGGCAGGAAATAGTGTCCTGAGGTCGCTACTCCTAACAAACAAAACCTGTAAATGACCAAAATGTTCTTGGACAAGAGAGAAATCATTGTGGTTATTCATGCAGAAGAATACAGGGCAATAATGGAAATAAATGAACAACTGCAGCAGGCAGTGTGGATGCTGCTGAGCAAAAGGTACTTGCTGAATGACTCCATCTGAGGTTCCAGAACAGGCAGCATTATTTGATGGTGTTAGAAGTCAGGACACAAGTTAGTTTTGAAGGAGGGAGCCACTAGGAAGGCAGGGGGAGAATCAGATGCTGGTAACATTGTTTCTTATTCTATGGAAATTCACTGAGCTACATGCACTGATGACTCATACGTTTTTCTGTGTTAAAATTATTGAGGTGTAATTTTTTTCATCATAAAGCCAAGATGGGTCTCAATATGTAAGGAAGCAATAATGCCAGTGTTACACACTATCCTTCAGAAAAGAGAGGAACAAACACTTCCCTATTCATTTTTTTATGAGGGCAGCACAGCCCTGATATTAAAAAGGACCTTCTGGGACTTCCCTGGTGGTCCAGTGGTTGAGAATCCGCCTTCCAATGCAGGGGACGTGGGTTCAATCCCTGGTGGGGGAACTAAGATCCCACATGCCGCAGGGCAACTAAACCCGCGCGCTCTAGAGCCCAAATGCTGCAGTGAGGAGCCCACACTACATAATGAAAGATCCTGTGTACCGCAACTAAGACCCAATGCAGCCAAATAGATTAATTTAAAAAAAAAAAAAAGACAAGGACCTTCCAAGAAAATTAGAAGACAGGGCAACATCCCTCTCATGAACACAGGCACAAAAATCTTTAACTAAATATTAGCAAATTGAACACAATGTGTAAAAAAGGACCATCATGACCAAGTGGGCC